AATACGGGGTTTCTCAAATTTATAATTTATTTTGCTCAAAAAACTTGATAAATAATCTACTGATACCTGAGCAATACATTTATTTATATTTGATTGGATCAAAACAGTCTCTTTTAGTTTCTAGTTTCTGTGTATGGGTTCTTTCAATATTTTTTTGCATTGTTAAAAATCTTCTCTGTGCCCTGTGCTCCATGAATGTTTACAAATCTTAGATTTACCAAAATCTTTCTTTTTTAAATAATCTTTATGTGTTTTAATTCGAACATTCAAAGATCTAGATGTTTCACCAATATAAAATTTCTCACATTCACATGATATTTTGTCTATCATATTTTTTGTTTTTTTTGTTCAGATTCCATTAGTTTTCTGTTTTGATCGATGTTTATCCGTTAGATTGTTGTATATTGTTTTATTATATTGGCTTCAACTTGTCTTGGCGAGGTCCCTTCTTAACTTTATTCTTTACTAGCTATATACCTTCTCAGAACTTACGACCGAGAAAAATCAAAGATTTTCCTTGATTCAAGTAAGAACACTCTATGGATTGTCACAAGAGGTTTAATTTTAATCTCAACGAACACCTCAGTAGATCGAAGTTAAAAAACAACGGCGAATGCAGATTTTGTGGGGAAAATGGCTAAACACCAGAAAACCTCATCACTGAGTGTGTCGAGACGACAGCCATTCGTGCCATGAAATTTGGTACCAATGACATCGGAGATGGAGAACTAATCTCTGTAAAACCGTCTCAGACATTGGCTTTTGTCAAAGCCCTGAGACTGTGTGATGAGTTATAACGCGTTATAACTCAAGAAAGAGGGACACAATTGATCTATAAGGTCGCGGTGAATAACTTTCCGCCCATACATTCTAAATACTACATCGATATACCTTGATCAACTATTGTTTTTTTTTTCAGTAGCAGCCACTAGTAATCCCTCTAGAGCTTCAAAGCTGTAGTGGGTCTAAGGATCAAAAGAGAACCAGAATAAATCTGGAAAGGCCACATTGGAACAGGTCGATAGTCACTTCGAAGAATCTATTCTAATCTTATAGTAGCAGAGTGGATGGAACACAAAACAACTCCATATTAGAAGGTTGTAGACTACTATACCAACTTGTTAACCCCCAGGGGCACCCGAATTTCAGAAACGCTAAGTATATCACCTCTAAATTGATAACAAAAAGTTTTCCTTTTTCAAAACTAAATTGGCATAGCAAATAGGTAAATGTGCTGACCGACGCGAGGTGGATTTAAAATGGGCGAAATGGATATTTGTTCGATTTCCGATATTATTTTCTTTGGACATCTGGAATATAATAGTGTTAAACCGAATTGTTAAGAGGTGAGTAATACACCAACGTAAAACACAAATTTAAAACTTGTGCGTGTACTGTTTTTCCTAGATCTACGCCAATGATTAATAATCCATGTTGATGTATTGAATTATTTTACTTTGATTTTAATATCGCCAGGATTCCTGGATTGAATGTTGATGTTCGTAACATTGTATAGGCGAATTACATAAGATGATATTCAATAATATACAGAGTGTTTCAAAACAAATACAAAAAACTTTAAGGAATGCCACAATAAATTATAGAAAGTGTGCACTGCAAAGAAGAGGGAGATGTAGATAGATAGATAGAGAGAGAGAGAGTATTTCAAATCAGATTTTTATTTGGTTGAAAAAATCTGTCTTGAAAATTTGGTTTCAGGCATCACATAATGTGACGGTAATGTAAATTATATCCCTTATAATCTTCCGAGAATGTTCCGAGAAACTTCCTCTAGGAGATGCGAGACCTTGTCGTTGGTGGGGAAGCTCCTAGTCAGGTGCTAGGGGGGATCCCCTCTGGCACTTTAGCTGGGACTAAGGAATATCTCACTGTCTTCTCCCTGGCTGTAGTATCGTGGCCATGGAATTGCACCAAGATTCCAAGATGATACCTGATGGGACTACCCTGTCCGTCCTACCAGGCACCCTCTACTGTCTGAGGTCATGTATGACGGACAGTGGGTGCTCGTTAGGGTTCAGAACCGGGAAATCCCGGTACCGAAAGTACCGGGAATTCTCGGTTCTTTTGAGACATCAAAGAACCGGGACTCGAAATAAAAATTACCGGTTATTTTTTTTACTCGTTAATAAAATGTAATTAAAAATTATTTTTTGTTACATGCGACAGTTCATTGATACTTTCTGGCGGTCGAAATCAAACTCTTATAAATAAATAGTGATGTTATCTCTTATTGTTCTTACATCTGAAGTTCTTTTGAAGTTCCTATAATGTTTATTAACAATTATTGAAGTTTAGATATGTCATTTTATTATTAAGTATAATGTTGCTCAATATATTAGTTATATTTTATGTTGTTTTTATCGGCATTTGAATTTTTAATTGAAAATGTCTTTTTTTCAAATTTATTTATAAGTTGGTTTATGTTGTTTGATGTAAATTTTAGGTTTCCTAAATTTTTTCGTTTTTCCTTCACTTGTGTTCATTTGTGTTGATTAGGCTTTAGAACCGGGAAATCCCGGTCTCGAAAGATCATGACTTTCCGGTTCTTTTGAGCCATCAAAGAACCGGGACAAGAAATAAAAATTCCCGGTTCTTTCGGTACTTTCGGTACCGATTTTTTTTTACTCGTTAGCAGTAATTAAAAAAATATATTTTTTATTACATGCGAAAGTTTATTGATACTTTCTAGAGGTCGAAATCAAACTCTTCTAAATAAATAGTGATGTTATCACTTTTTGTTCTTACTTCTGAAGTTCTTTTGAAGTTCCTATAATGTTTATTAACAATTATTGATATAGTTTAGATATATTATTTGATTATTATAAGTACAATGTCGCTCAATATATTAGTTATATTTTATGTTGTTTTTATAGGAATTTGCATTTTTTTGACTAATTATTTAATAATTATTTTCATTAAAAAACGCATATTTCTATCGACTTTATTTTTGAAAACCATCCCTTGCTTGCTGATTGACGAAATGTGCCATATCATTGTACAAAAAATTAGCCAGTACCGAACGTACCGAAAAAAACGGGAAATCCCGGTTTTTTAGAGGCGCGGTACCCAAATTCTCGGTTCCGAAAAACGGCTCCGGTTCCGGAAACCCTAGTGCACGTGATACCTCAAGGGTACGTCAGCCGGAGACAAGCTCCTGGACTGTGAAAAGCACGGAGGGCTAAACCCCAATCGTGGAAGAATTCGTCGTAGGAGGTACCCTGTGGGAAATACTCTGTTCCCACCTACAATAGGAAGATCACCATGTATGATGAGTTATGGACTGTATATATGTATGATGAGTTATAACAACTCAAGAAAGGGGAACACAATAGATCTTTAAGATCGCGGTAATTACCCCCTTCCAACCTTTCCGAGAATACGACTATGGCCATAGGGTTTCTTCAACCAGTTTCTCTGATCCAGTTTCTCCATCAACCAGTTTCTCTGAGGCTGATTGCACTACTAGGAGACACATTTTTTATATGATAGAACATTTTTATACTAAAATCATGCAAATTTCCATATGTCTCCCCAACAAGAAACAGCTAACGTTTTAAAACAAATTTTGATATATTTTCGTGAGAATGAGATCTAAAGTGACTTGCAAAATATCATTATAATGTCCGGGTAATTTTGTAACGATTCTGTATCACATCTGCGATGCCCTTAGCGCTCTGAAAATTGGAAATCCCTTTTAATTAATATTTAATTTAAAAATTTCCGCCCAAGTTACATCACGGACGCGCGCTTTTTTTTTAGGAATTATGATCGAAAATCCCAGAAAGAGATCGAAGAAAGTGAATATTTGGTCTTGTATTTGGACCATAGTCAGTATCATGGCGGATATAAGACGAAAATAATAAGGATTTTTTTCCTTTCTTTGTTTCTTTTTATTAGTTAATTGTTATTAATAATATCAGTTACTTAATCTTGACTCACAAAAACAAATCAGTGGCAGCTGCTCTTTACTTTTCACATCCTTCGACAATTCTAATGTCTACATCGGTGTTTTTAATGCTAAAGTGTTGTTGTCTTGTTTCGCTTTTATAAAATAATACATATAAACTAGGATATTTTATCTCTATTTAATGTTTGATTTATAATTTTATAAGCTAGGTATAATAAACTATCCAATTTGCTATGAACTAAGGCGCTATCTGATGTAATAAGACTGACGTATTAAAAGTTAGTCGTTACATCATTATTCAGTGTCGTACATAGACTTTATAAAACCCTAATACCCTGTTTTTACTGTGTCATATCACAGTCAAACTGTGATCATTGATTCCTCCAAATTTGGATGTTTTAACATGTTTTTGAGCCTTTAATTGTATCTGTCAAATTAGATCTGAGAAAAAAAATCTGAGAAATTTAATATGTCTTTCTCGACTGTTTGTTACGCTACTGTTTTTATTGGGAGATTAAGATGTCCATGTCCGTTTAGAAAATATATGTATATCAAAAGGTAACATAATAATACCTCTTTCATTTTTACCGATGGAAATTCCAGTAGACAAATTTGTGACGGCATCATTCATGAATGTTACTTTTACTAACAATTGAACACGTAATATGTTGCCTTAAGGACTAATCAGACTAATCGTTACTAGATATATCTTTCAGATCCTTTTTAACGATTTTTTTTAACCCTCATAATTTTTTTAATCCGATTCTCTTAAATAACTAATCCAATATATTTTTTTTCAATATCTAATTTGAATTATAAAAGATCTACTGGAGAAAGATGACTGCAAAAAACTGAATATTATAAATTAACTCTTAATAACAGAGTTTGATTTTAGGAACAATTTGACAAAACTCGCGAACTTTTAAAATGGGCATCAACGGCGGGGTAATATACTGCGCGCTCTCTATTAAAGAAAGTTATTATTACGTTATAGGTGATTACCCTGCTTACAGTTCACTGTTATTAGTGACTGTCCCTTGACGCTACTTTTAGCTATGGAGTGTAGAGTTTGGCATAACCGTTTTAACAATCCAACCTCCAAATTTTAAAACCGCGGGAAAATGTATTCCAGTTGTATCCTTCCCGGTTCGTTGTGTTCTGTTCGTTTTAGATAGTATTAAGTAAATAGCTTCTTCTATAAAGATGTCCCAAATAGAACCAAACTCACGTCCCTTTACTGTTCTCGTTGAGGGAAATATCGGTAGTGGCAAAACAACGTTTTTAAATCATTTTAATAAATTCGAGGATGTTTGTGTGTTGGCTGAACCTATCGATATGTGGCGAAATTGCAAGGGACATAATCTTTTGGGCCTGCTTTACGAAGATATAAAGAAGTGGAGCTTTACGTTTCAGTCCTATGTTCAACTCACAATGCTGCAACAGCATTTGAGAAAAACCGCCTGTCCAGTTAAGCTGATGGAGAGGTCAATTTATAGTGCTCGGTAAGAACTAACATATTTTCTGCTTTATAAATACTTATTATGGTTTATAATTTAAGCATTTGTTTTGTGGAGAAAATGAAACAAGATAATTTAATTTCCCATGCTGCAGCTGCTGTTATAGATAAGCATTTCCAGTGGATCAAAGAAAATACAGATCTAAAAGTTGACTTAATTGGTAAGAAAATCATTAATTTTCCTTTAGCATTGTTAATTCCCTCATTTAGTTTACCTCAGAACTGATCCACAAACGGTTTATGACCGTATGATTAAGAGGAATAGAGAGGAAGAGAAGACTGTGTCTTTGGACTACCTTCAAGCTTTACACCAAATACATGAAGACTGGCTATACCACAAAACCATTTTTGAACTACCAGCAGAAGTTCTTGTGTTAAATGCCAATTTGGACAAATCAGTTATTAATGAGGAATATTCAAAATTTGAACCACTTATACTGAACAAGAAGTTATCTGTTCAAGCCTGAATGGTATTATGTGTGTTAAATTTTATATTACTAATTTGAGATATTTCCCTGTAGAAACAATTATATTTATTACACACAACCTTTATTTTTAAAATGGACAATCACTGCCTTTGTAGTTACTGTACTTACTACTACATCAATGTTTTTATCAATTGTATTAGAATGCAAACACAATTTAAAATTAAAATAAGGAATGTATGATTGTCTCTTTATAAATCAATCAGAAAACATATGTTTTCTTATACTATGAACAGAGTAAAAACTTACAACAAAAATGGTAATTATCTAATAAAAAAATAAGAAAACATATTACTGTTTGATATATAAATGAATAGCAAATTTATAATACAGATTTTATATATTTATAGACAAATATTTTTTTGTATCTAATGAATTCCAAAGAAAATGCAATTTTTTATAGAGATACTAAAGTAATATACAGTATCTAAAAATATACTAGTTCTTTTTCTTAAGATTTCCAAACTTATCAAAAATATCCTTTTTTACAACTGACAACATTAAATATTTTCTTAATGATGTCTAAGCTCTTAATACAATATTTTTAAAATTACTATATCTACAGTATTAAAACTAGTTTATAACATAAAATATATAACCTTTATATAACTATATGTTTATAGGCACAATTTTATTTGTCTAATGAATTGCAATGAAAATGCAATTTTTTATGCAAATACTTAAGTTTGAATTTAATATACACTGCCCAAAAATATTCTAATTCTTTATCTCCAAATCTTTTCCAATGTATTCAATTGAAAGGTATCAAAAATATGCTTTTATATAAATGACAAAATTAATTTTTTCCATTAAAACTACTATACAGTATACAAAAAGCATTCATAAGGAAAACAAAACACAATTTAACTTGAGTATTGTTGTGACCATATGTTTAAGGCTTCTTGTTGATCACATTGCCATAGTGCTTCAGCCAAAACTCCTACAGTGGCTTTTTTAGTACCATTGTTTCGAATCCAATCCAGCAAGAACTGATAAATTATCTATAAAATAACTAAATTACATATAAACAAAATAAGGAGAAATATTTAATACTTCTTTTAAGTCGGTTCTTTTATATCCAAATTGTTCAATCTTGCCCTGTGAGTATTTAAAATGCCTTGCAAGGGTTACCCATTTTGAGTTCATATGATCAGACAAGAATAAAATATCGTCTTCGGTTACCGGATTTTTACTTTTTCTTAGTGCATTAATACTTTCCGTTGGTTCAACCTTTGGGGTTCCTTTGTTCTTATTGCTCTGGCACATATTATAGTTATTAACAGTGCCAATATGAACCACTTTAGAATTTTGTACATTAATGACTGTCACCTCTGAAAATAAATAAGAAATTTATGTGGATACTGCATGGTATTATCTAAAACGCCTTACGTTGTGACGGTGGAGGTTTTGGGAAACTTTCCTCGTCAAAAACGCCTTTATTCGAACGAAAACTGCTCCTGTGTTTTATGTTTTCTGATTTATTTTGATACTGATTATTTTGGTCCCTTGGAGGACTCGGCATTGCATCTGTCGTATTTCCATCAGACATTTCTTTGAGTATTAAACTATTAGAACTAAATAAAAGAACTAGTAATCAATTTACTTAAAATTAGATTTTTTACGTGATTGTACTACAAATTAGCAAAATAGATATCAATATCCACCTGTCACTTCTCTGTCATCTGTCATCTGTAGACAGAAAGATCTGTCATCTGTCATATATTCTCTCCACAGAAGAAATATAAAGCAACTTTATCTTAAACTTGTCTTAAACTTTATAAAGTATTGTATTTTAGGCAACTTAAAATACATAGTGGGATAGATTTTTAATTGATGGAATCATGTATAGTACTTATCCATCTAACAAGTTTAACGGTAGAGAGAATTAATAAATAGATACTAACTCATTAGCATCTTTATGGGTATATCTTATTTAAAAAGTAGCACACACCGTTTTTCCTCCAGTTTTCAAATACAAACAGTTTAGAACCATTACATTATAACTTTAGGTCATTCAAGGGCATTGCCTTTTTGGTCTCTCTCAGTCCACAGTCCTTCTTAAGTTCGCAGTTTATATTATATTATTATGTTGTCCTTTTATAATAATATTTTGGTCCTTACTGGACAAGGGATTTAACTAAAATTACAGTAATTTTAAAAATGCATTGCTGCATGTTTATTAATAACTAGCGCCGCTATGAGAAGCGCGCGTTTATAAAATAATGTACTTTGAATCAAATGAATATACCTAATATAATAGTAAAGAATATGATTAAAGAAGAAAATTAATTTTGTTACTAAATAATAAGTTGAGGATGAGACATAAATTTTCTAACATTCTTGTTAACCATCCCACTTAACTGTGTCACAAGCAAACCGGTACTTCAGTATATAAACGGAGCAAGAAGGAACGAATGCTCAAAAACAGATAAACATGCAAACCGTTTACTTCCTTGCATTCTTGCCATGCTTAACAATAGCGCAAATACCAAGTTTGGGCTTTTGTCCAGACTATTTACCTATGACACATTTCGATATTGACCGTTTCATGGGAAAATGGTATGAAGCTGAGCGTTATTTCCAATTTTCTGAAGTAGCCTCGAGATGTGTTGTGACCGATTATGCCGTCGCTCCCAATGGAAAGATTTACGTCTCCAATGAAGTCACGAACAGATTGTAAGTTCCAGTCGTTTTATTTACCGGATAAATGAATAATTTCAATATTATTTTCAGCACCGGAGTTAAAAGAATAATAGCTGGGAATGTGGACATGCCAGGGCACAAATCCGAGGGCAAAATGGTAGTGAAATACGAAACAACCCCTTCCACAACGTCCACCCTTACAGTATTAGATACAGACTACGACAATTATGCTGTAATTTGGAGTTGCAATGGTCTTGGACCTGTCAATACCCGTAAGTCATTTTTTTATGAATATATAACGGTCTATCTAATATTTCAGTTTTATCAGATAACATATAGGTGAGATAATTCTTTTGTTTTGCTTGTTCCAGAAAGTGCTTGGTTAATGACTAGAGAACGTATACCAGACGTGACAACACTTCAAAAAGCTTATGGAGTCCTAGATCAGTTCAAGATCAACAGAACGTTCTTCTTGAAGACGGACCAAGAGGGTTGTGCCATTGCTGCTTCCGATTTGAATGCCGCCCTTGGTATAGCTTCAACATCAACCAATGTGGAACAAAATGCCATATTAGCGAAAACCAGCGAAGATGCAGAGAATGAACTGAAGAAGAATAACGATCAGAGTGATCAGGAGAAAACGGAAGAGACTACGACAGAAATAAATGACACTGAAGAAGCGACGAAAGAAATTTCATCATAATTTAATATAAAATATTATTTATTGTTTGTAACTATTTATTTTTATTTATATTTATTTTAAGACAATTATATTAAAAGCTTCTAATAAAATCATCAAAATAATAAGAAAAGATTTTTTATTTCGAGGAATGGGACTCTTAAGAAAATACTAATAAACCTAAATCCGATCTATGCCCGAGTTACACTTCGTGAACCATCGCGCTTGTGTTATATTTTAAGTCTATAGTTGGGGCACATGTACAGAAGCGGGCGTTGTTTGTTAGTATATTCTGTGGTTTGTTGTTCATCTATGTTGTTGATTATGTAGACACAGAAAGTGAAGAAAGATAGGAAATCTCAGTGTTTTAATTTTCTAAATATATGTACCTATTTTTCCTAGTTTTTTAATGTGTGTTGTAGCATTATGAAGCATCTAAAATCAATTTTTCTCATATTTGTGCAAATAATATACTATGTAAAGAACTCTAGTGCCTCCTTTAATTTATATTTAAGTCCTCAGGAAATGCAGAGACATTTAGGTAATGTAGACAAACAACCTAGTTTTAGAAAATACAAGAAATTTAATTTGTATATGCATATAAGTCAAAAAACAAATTCACTAATTTCTTAAGGGACCGTCCATTAAGCCACAAATATTAATGCACTTAGATATTTGAGTTTAAATATCATCAAATAGTATAACGTTAGAAGATGTTTAATTTATAGATTCTATTTATTTTATACTTTCCTATACCTTGTTCCTACTCTACCTGCATTTGTATTCATAACAGAGAGGACTTAAGGGTCCTACTACTTACATGCATATATAAAAACAAATCTATACCACATCTATACACAGTTTCAAATGCTTTACATTTTAGGATTACAAGCCGAACTGTACTACGTTCAAGATAATCGCATAAACGAATATGCCCTGAATTTTACTCTTTTATTACCTCCAAAATTAAACACATTATATTTTACATGGAAAAATACAGACAGTCAAGAGGTCGTTATTTAGTATATTGTCAGTACAACAACGTAAACTAAATTTATTATTTTTAGCTGCCATATTCAATCAGTGTTGAAACATCGAATAGAGCTGCTATACCATATCCAAAATTAAATATCTCCTCATCTGGATCTGTTCCCACGTCAACTCAAACTTTTGCAGTATCAGTACCATGTACTGAGACTATTGATGCAGAAGTGCTTATATCTATTAACATCAACGTAACTTTTCCTGGAAATAATGTTACTAAACTTCATTTGTCAAGAAGGAAAACTTGTATTAATGAAAATTTAAAACCTTATGCTTCCAAAAATTCTCTGACATTCGCTGATTCGTCTAGTGTATTTTACATAGCGGTTTGTTGTGCTGTTCTGCTAATTTTGGTTCTGGGAGTTTTAATAACAATTTATTATGTAACTGATAAAAAGAATAAAGTGGCAAAAAGTAGTGGCACAGGTCCAGGAACCACTACAACGACGTTTCTAGCAACTTTGCCTAGAAACAGTGTTAATATTTCTTCTTATGCCAGTTTCAGAAGAATGCCTAGTTATTCTTTACTAGATGAAAGATCAAAAGATTTACAAGAAAGAATAACAGACCTTACAGTACAAAGGTAAATATAGCTATCTCTTTGAAAAAACTTTATATTTAATCAATAACTTTTTAGATGCAGAATTCGCTTAAGCAGTATAATATTAGAAGGAACATTTGGAAGAATATACCAGGGATCTTATACTAATGAAGAAGGAAATGAAGATACTGTTATAATAAAAACAGTTGCGGATCATGCAAGTCAAATACAAATATCTTTGTTGCTACAAGAGGGGATGGCAATGTATTCATTAAACCATAAAAATATTTTAAGTATTCTTAGGGTGTCTATTGAAGACCATACTGCTCCATTTTTACTATACCCATTTAACAATTACAAGAACCTAAAAATTTTCTTACAGAAATGTAAAGTATCATCTGAAGGTGTGCACCACACACTAACAACTCAAGAAGTAGTGCACATGGCTCTGCAAATCATAAAAGCAATGCAGTATTTGCATAAAAGGCATTTACTTCATAAAGACCTGGCTGCTAGAAATTGTGTGTTAGTACTATTTTTTAAACAATATTTATTCAATGGTTTAGTATTAAAAAGAAATTTTCTTTTTTGTAGTATAGATGATTCGCTGAATATTCAAGTTGCTGATAATGCTTTATCAAGAGATCTTTTTCCATCAGACTACCATTGTTTAGGAGATAATGAAAATCGCCCCGTTAAATGGTTGGCCTTAGAGAGTTTATTACACAAAACTTTCACGCCTTCATCAGATGTTTGGTCGTTTGGGGTTTTGCTATGGGAGTTGACTACTTTAGCACAACAACCTTACATCGAAATAGATCCTTTTGAAATGGCAGCTTACTTAAAAGATGGCTACAGACTAGCTCAGCCTATTAACTGTCCAGATGAATTGTAAGTTTGTAGATTATACAAAGATCATTATGTAAAAAATTATGTTTTAGATTTGCTGTTATGGCCTATTGTTGGGCTATGAGTCCTGAAGAGAGGCCTACTTTTACACAGCTGCATGTATTCTTACAGGAATTCTTTGCACAATTAACCAAATATGTTTGACATCCAATAAAAATGAGCGCAAAAGTTTTATTTTGCTACTAGATTTATGTTCCTTTGTCTTAAGTGCCAAAGTTGGGAAGAAATGTTTTGCCAAATATGTAAATTATTGTTTCTATGTGGTTTTTTATTTATATGAAGTGTACTTATCTTTGATATGTATTCGTATCAATGTTTAGATCTCTATTTAGGATAAATAAATGTCTACCTGAACCAGCCTGAACCTTTGCCTGAATTTGTAATTATTTAAATTTTAGGGGATGTCTCTCTTTATCTGGACTGTATATTGGGTTGCCTAAATAGAAATATTTAAATATTGACTTTTGACTTCTTGTTGATTTTTTCTCGTGCTTGAAGATAAGTGCCTCAAAAGCCCTCCCTGATAATAAACTAATAATAAATAGAGAAGTATTTAAATAAAAGCTGCACAGTACTTTGTTAGAATGTCTTATACGGGACGTGTTTTAATTTATGGGGGTCGTGGGGCTCTAGGATCAAAATGCATTTCAGAATTTAAAGCTAAAAGTTTTGTGAGTATATTTTACTGTACCTATTTGTAATTAGAAAATAAAATCCTATTTATAGTGGGTTGGAAGTATTGATCTAGCTGAGAATCCAGAAGCACATTGTAGCATTGTAATAAAGAAAGATGAAGATTTCATACATCAGGTATATCAACCTTATCTATTGAACTATTAACAACGCTTTAAAAAACATTCATATTTGAAGGAGGAATCAGTTGTTTCAGCTGTAGGAGAAGCTCTTAATGGAGAAAAACTAGATGGAATATTTTGTGTTGCTGGTGGATGGGCTGGTGGAAACGCTACTAAAAGTATATATTCTGTAACTTACGTAATTTTTCTTATATTGTGAATTAATGTTGCAGATTTGGCAAAGAACGCTCAACTAATGTGGCAACAAAGTGTATGTAGTTCTCTGATAGCAGCAACTTTAGCAACTAAGTATTTAAAAGAAGGAGCTGTTATACAACTTACAGGAGCCAAAGCAGCTCTGGATCCAACACCAAATATGATCGGTTACGGCCTAGCCAAATCTGCAGTACATCATCTTACAAAATCTCTAGCTGGAAAAAACAGTGGTGTTCCAAAAAATACTACAGTTGTAGCCATTTTACCAGTTACATTAGACACACCTATGAATAGGAAATGGATGCCCCAAGCAGATCACTCGAGTTGGACTCCTTTAGAATTTATTGCAGAGTATGTTATAAATTTCTTTCTAATCAAAACTTAATCCTTTATAATTTGTTTCTGTTTTAGATTATTTTTGAAGTGGCTTAATGGGCAAGATAAACCTCCAAGTGGTACCTTACTTCAGTTGGTTACAGAAAATAACAAGACTAATATTACCCCTCTATAAAACATTCCGTTAGTTAAATGATTTATGAAATGTAGTAAATAACCAAATTGAAATTATGATCTGGCTATACTATTAATTACTTAATGATGTACTATATTTTTGTATAATTAATTTATCTTCAAGATATTTTTTTGAAACCTTCCCTCTTTTTTAGATATTTTATATCTACATGATTGCTATGTTGTGGGACGAAATATGATGAAATAAAAAGCTTATATATATATATATATATTGTCAACATATGTATATGTATTATTCAAGTTTAGAGTGTAAAATTAATATTGTCTATGCATAAAATATGTATTCATTTATAATGAAAAATAAAACAAAATAAAGGGCAGTTCGTACAGTAAAATCATATATGTATATGCTGGTGAAAAAATTCACAAGTGTAAAATAAAACATCAATATACAATTAGATGAAATGTTCCAAAATTTTTACATATTCAAAATAATAAGCATTATATACATCTTTAGAATTGTCGGTTTATTTGATGATTATAAATTTGACAAAAAAATATCACGCATCTAAGTAAATTGCAATATGCAAAGCATATCTTATTTGAAAAATACTGCTTTATTTAATGAATCTAATTATTGCAAATTACCTGATGAAATATTATAATTAAAATATTATATACATCGTTATGTAAAAAAATATATTTTTTACAATTTTTGAGTATTTAGTACTTAATATTCTTTTAGACAAAAGTAAAAAAATATACTTCAATAAATAGTACCTATGGTCTCTCGAATTTTATAAAACTTATATATCTATTCTTGGTCGATATTGTAGAGTTAATGGGGGATTTTGAAATCTCCACCGAGTAACATACACAAATTTTAAAGTATGGTCTTTGCCTAACAATTCATCATTACATAAAATATCAATATCCCGATACTTTTCCATGCCATTCAAAACTTTCATTGCCACAAACTTTTTCAAATGTAATATAGTTGCCTGTGCCGAACATCTAATGAAGCGTCTTTTAAGTGTTTTAAGATTCGAACTAATACATTCTAAGCAAACATTAACTTGTTCATCTTGTCTATGGTAATCAGCCTCTGCATGAGGATCAGCGTCGTGTTCCCCATTTGACTCTCCATTTGCTAATGGAATATCTTTTGGATTCTGAAGTCCTCTTATACGATAAAACTCTTTCTCTTTATCGCACTCAGCTAAAATAAAACGGTAAAATTTCTATATAAATCTGGGTATACATTAGACGTACTTTTTTGTAATTCTGGGACTAATTTATAAACAATATCTTGCATCGTTCGATCAAAGCTAATATATTGAAGTGGATGTGATTGATGTATCACAATTTTACATGTTGGACAAGTATTGTTTTCTTCTAGGTGCTTTACTAAACAACTCTTGCAGACTAAAACAAACCTAGTAAAGTTTCTAGAACAACACAAGAGTATTTTACCTACAAGTATGTAAACATTCCGTAACTGTAGTTGCATCTATTAAGTACCCCCTGCAAATTTTGCATGTAATATAATTATTTAGTGTTTTAAGTTTAATTTTTCTTTCCATTGTCATAATTTACAAAAAAACATAATTTTAAAGAAATGAAAAATCAAAATACACTTCATAACCCCATTTCTATTTACTAGAGAAATGAAAAAATGTAAAAAAGAGGGGTATATATATTTGTGTAATCTGTGGTGGAAGCTTTCTTGTATTTCTCTTTCTTTTATGGAAGTAAAGTGGAATCATAGAGATAATTAATTGTATATCAGATGTGGATGAGTTTTTAAACTAAATTATTTAAAATAGCAATACAAATTTACAAAGCGGTAAGCATTTTATAATTTGTATTTTAAATAGTAAATGATAATATATGATCAAAGAGTTGAGACTAGTCTTTTTATATCGTTTTACAAGGAAGTTTTTCCCGCCACATTTAAATATTTGAATCGTACCACTTGATGCGAAGAACGAAAACGTATATGCAATTAACGTAGTTTTTGTGCTTTTATATTATAAAATGGTAGAAATAAAACTACAGTAAGCTGTTCCTATTGAATATACTTAATATAAAGAAGTGTATGCTATCCTATTGGAAGAATTAATGCACTTAAAATGTATATTACAATAATATTGGAAGAATGATAACTAATATTATGAGTATATAAGTAAAATTGTATGTATTGCCGCCAGACAAACCACAACATTCAGTAGATACACTTAAAACTTTCGGATAATATTCGTTCCAAAACGTAAACGCTTTATAATTGAGATTTCCGGAAGAACTCATGTTGAAACTATTATCAATAATCAATAACCCGGGTCTTTCGATAGTATAAGCCTCCCATTTTATAGGATAAGAAGTACCCTGAGTGGGATTTGAATACTTGGCAAAGTTCGTCCAAAACGACATTATGGTATCCGATATTCTTTTATCTCTATAATCCCAATCCTGATCTTGTCTCCAGTACGGTACTCCCCACACATAGATGAGGTCAAACAAATGGGGCACGCTTACCCAGTTAGGGATATTCTTTACCACAGCCTTGGTACTTGGTTTCATGTCGAACCTGTATACGTAGGTAGGTTGATTGTCTCTGGTCAATTTGGAAGCTAAAAAGATCGTTGAGGAACCGTAAGTTTTTTCGAGCATAAACTCAACAGCGGTTTTCCGAAATATTTCGGCGTTATAGTTCGGCGTTGTCGGTGTATAAAAAAACAAGACAGAATCTATAATATGTTCGTAATTATAGTCACAGCCTGTCTCGCTGCTGTTTATATTTGGAATGTCTCCGCTCACTAAATCTGTTAATAACTGTTTAAAGGTTTCAGGTGTATAGTGTATAGTTGAATTCTCTATATCGTCCAGTTCCAAAGCCTGTTCCATGTTGGTATAGCCAGTTAGCACTGGAATCTTAACATACTCGTCCCTGTCAAAGAAATCCTTTATGGGTTCTGGCAGAAAAGGTAAAGTTGAATTACTTAAGTCTTTATCCAGTAGTGGTCTCCAGTTGACATTTGAAGTTTGTTGTACCAAAAGATTTCCGTCTACACGTCGAAGACAATCAATGAATAGTGATGTAGGCTTCCGGATACAACCGAAATCTTTAGCCAGTCTGTCTATAACTGGTTTATCTTCTTCAGGAGATCTTACAGCGGATGGTTGAAACATGTTACCACTCATTACGATTGCCTTATGAAACAGCGCTCTTCAAAAGAATAAAAATAAATTAAATCAAAAAAATATTAATACAATTCTGTGTTTTTTACTTGGATTCCGAATTGACCATATGTATCCCAATACTAATTGCCCCAGTACCATATCCCATGAGACAAATATTATTTTCGTTCCCACCAAAGAGCTTGATGTTACTCTTAACCCACTGCATTGCGGCTTGCTGGTCCATTAGCCCATAGTTTCCTGCCGCTTCGCCATCCATAGTCGTGAAGAAACCCATGATGTTCAATCTCCAGGCGAAAGTAACCACTATAACTCTCTGCCTATATACTAAAGTGTGTGGATTCCATATCGATGGCATACCAGTTGTAAAGTTTCCTGGATGTATCCATATGATTGTTGCAAATCCCTGAGGTGGTGGAGGAGAAACTGAAACGTGAAACGAATAAAGAAATTATTATAATAAGTCTCTCTATTATGCTATCTAAAGCCAGAGATATTTTATAACATTATAAAATTAAAATTTATTAGTAATTAAACAAAAACTATTTTTTTTGATTAAATGGCGAATGTGCCAGTCTCTCAATATTTAATTAATAAAATATCGGGAATTATTTTCCTACGATCGATCGTCTAAACCATAGAATATAACTAACTGAAACCTTCTAAACTAAAACCTTCTGGCCTTCTGATCATAAAACTATTTGATCACAGTGTATATACGTTTTACTACAGAACAATTTAATGGTGACAAGGAGAATTTTCCTAATTATTGAAGTAAAAAATCTCAATTTGCTTCGCAAATATGACGTTCAGATAAAAACACTAATGTATTTTAAAATAGTTACGGTACACCGAGTAATCACCTAGTTTTATTAAAAAGAAAACCAATTTAGAAATGTCGCATTCCATAATGCACGGCTATAAAACTAATCAGTTCACTTGAAGGTGACTAATCTGAAAATAGTCTTGAACGACTCTGCACGCAACATAACTTTACTACTGCCCGTAAAAAAATCTTGAAAAATTAAGTCTAAGGTCACGCTGTAGGGGGAATATTTAAATTGCGCCCTAATGAATCGATGTTTATGTGGTCAGTATTTCTTTTTTATTATTTTGTACAGGGTCCGGCAATAGTGCGTCGGGTATAATAAAAAAAACTCACAAATGTTGTTTAAGTGCAGGCCTAAAGTATGTATTAGAATGTATTTCAGGAAAATATTTTAACTTCTATAGGGTGGCTCAAAAAGGTGTGAGCGGATCGCGAATATTTTTTTTAAATGGAACACCCTGTATATTATTGCATATTTGTTTTAATTTTTAACTCTCTGCATATTTGGCTTCCTTTCTGATCACTTTACATAATCGTAAAATATTATTAAACATATGTTTTGATAGTTTAAGAGATATTAATAAATAAATAAATTTTCTTCGCTTTTTTTAAATGGAACACTGTACCTAGTATATTATTCCCTTTGTTAGATCAAGAATTAAAAAACGATCATTTTTTGTATTGAAAATATTTCAAAATTTTTAACGGTTTTGCGGATATTCTTAATATTATATTGCATATGGGGCTTTCAACAGGAATTTTTTATCAAAGCCATCTAATTATTTTTTTCTGGTATTTTATCGTTAATAAAGCCATATGTGTAATAAAAACGCGAATATTTGGGAAACCGCTAAAAATTTTTAAATACTTTAAATACAAAAAATGTTCATTTTTTAATTTTCCATCTAAGAAGGAAAAATTATTTTATATTTTAGACAGTTTTTTATAGAATTTTGAACACCCTGTATGGTTTAAGATTACGATATTGACAGCAAAGTACAGACCAACTTTAGTAAATACCTATAGTATAGTTTTTGATTTCAGGACAAATCTTGAATTTTCAATAAATGTTTTAATAAAGGCTGAAAAAAATATATTTTTTATTTGTTGATGTTTCTGAGACGATCAAAACATATTTAATAATATCTTAGGATTATGTAAAGTGATCTGAAAGGAAGCCAAAAATGCAATAATATACAGGGTTGTTGAGTTGTTCTATTTAAAAAAAAGTCATCCTGATCCACTCACACTATTTTGAGCCACTCTGTAGAAGTTAAAAATTATAATATTTTCCTGAAATACATTCTAATACATATATACTTTAGGTCTGTTTTTTTATTATAGGACCATATATGACCTACAGTTTCCCGACGCACTACTGCCGGACCCTGTAGAAGGAGACAAAAAATGCTAAAGCCGAAATACTTTTTAATATCTTATGGTGCGTTCACACCGGCTGCGCCGCTCCGCGCTGTGCCTCGCAAAACATTTTTTAGCATGTACTTTTGAAGTGTATTTTTTTAGCGCGCACAAAAGTATATGTTAAAATATCTCTGTCGTATATCTAATGTACATCCAGCTGAGATATCCAAACATGCTCATGATAATAAAATATCCTAACAATATCGTCTAGATATTTAGGAAAAATAAATAATGTACTACTTTTATATTACATAAAATGCAATATACCATACAGATAGATATATATTACGTCAAGGCAACAAAATATCCTGTTGGTATCTTCTGGATAATCTGGATATTTATAAGCTTGGCCACTCCCAGTAATATAGAGAATTTAAAACGCCCGCGCAAAAAATTTCCCACAATCCATCTCGACAGTTGTTTGTTTTTGCATCGTGTATTATTCAGTTCTTTGATTTAGTGAAATTCCAGGTGAATTCGGTCGTTTGTCGATATTGAATGGGCTTAAACATGACTGAAACTAATAAAACTGGTTGAGTTTGACTTAGTTTTTCTTATACTCATAGTTCTAGCCTTGTTCTAGCAGAAATTCTATCCTAACCTCAACTAATGTCGAAAAACGACGAACGACTAAGGGTCTCACAATGAAAATTTGTGACAAAATTATAGGTGAAAATTTGTTGAAAAGCGCTTTTACTATAAACTAAGGATGAAGAAAGTATTGTCCAAATAACAGTCCTCATATAATGTCCTAAAATTATATATATAGTCCATATAATATAATGCTCCCAACATCATCCTTGTATTATCCTATAAATAACCCAAATAATCGTAAAAGGCTTGCCTAGGGATGTCTTGAAGATGACTTTTTTTGTCCCATCTGGATATCCCATAAATATCCTCCTCTAGTTTTTGGATATCCCTAAGATATTTACTATATCCTTGGTAGATATCCTCAAGATATCTATAGGATTGTGTTGTGTTATATGGGTGTAGAAGGAGACAAAAAATGCTAAAGCCGAAATACTTTTTAATATCTTATGGTGCGTTCACACCGGCTGCGCCGCTCCGCGCTGTGCCTCGCAAAACATTTTTTAGCATGTACTTTTGAAGTGTATTTTTTTAGCGCGCACAAAAGTATATGTTAAAAAAATTATTTGCGCGGCGCGGAGCGGCGCAGCCGGTATGAACGCACCTTTAGGTATTGTTTACTGTTAAATTTTTTTATTAAAGTCTGATCAACAGGTGATAACTATACTTAAAATAATTAAGTGCGAAAAAATTAGAAATAAAAAATTATGGGTTCGTTAAGATTTTAATTACCGTTCAAAATCTATTAGAAAAATTGAAAGAAAATAAAAACAGTAGGAATTGTGGGTGCTTTTAAGCTGCCTGATACATTCGTGAAGGCCGTTTAATGATAGCCAAGCACGCAAACCTTACAGTCGTATCCGGTGCCGTAAACTTATATTTTACAATGTTCATGCAATAGAATCTATTCTTGCTTTAAAAAAAACACAACCACACACACCATACTTCTTCTTGTGCAAATAAATGTCATAGAAAGCAGGATTTTATACGTCAAGAAACTCATTTTATCTTGATGTACTCCTTTTGAAAAACATATCCAGCTTTCTGTCTGTATTTCATTCTAAAGTTACCAGTTTAAATAGAATATTCGTATTTGCAAGACTAGATATAGGGTTAAAAAACTCATTTCAATTCTTCTTTAAATACCCATGCAGCTACTAATAATCATCTATTTAAAACGAGAAATTTCCAATTTATTTAATAAAAAAAGATTTTGTAAATTTCGATTGCACATAGATTTATCTAATTTAAAAATACTTGTACATATATATACAGGGTGGTTCATCTAGGAAAGTGTGCAGTGCATTTTCAAAAATCTAACATTAGGAACTTACCATTAGGAACAAAAATGTTTAAGTATAAACAGTCTTCACTTATATTCGAAGGTAATTGTACGTCAGTTAATAGTTGTAAGAAGGGCAACTCCGATTCTTTATAATCTTCCTTTCCTTGTAAACAAGAAGCTTGGAAGTCCGTATCGTTTTTGATATAGTCCCAACTTGGCAAAGGACTAGTAACTGGAGGAGCGAATCTTAAGGGACCTACGGGGGCCTGAGCGTAAGGAATCCCATAGTAGGCGATTATTTTCTGGATGCGAAACTTGGAAACTTCTTCGCCTCGAATTCTTCCTTGGTTCGGTATATCGACGATGTATTCTTTGGCCGTCGAGCAGGCGATGACAAAAATGCACAAACACTCTATGTTAAAAACGATTGTTGACTGAGCCATGTTCGGGAATCGTTCGTTGTTTCTTGAGCAAAATCTGGAGTTTGACTGCACGGGGTTGATTAAGGGCTGTATTGCGTGTTATACCTTCCCGCTACGCCATTTATTTGCCGATCAATTCAAATTTTCATACAGAAGCAGGATTTCGTACAGAAGCAGGACCGAAAAAATACATCTACATTTGAATCTCACTCAAAAATATGAATATTCCGTTGCGATTTACTTACATCTGCGCAAAAAACTATTATAATAACTGCTATAATTAGTACTTAAAGAGTTCAACATATTATTATTTTAGCTGCCACTTGATATTATTATTCAGCAGATTATATATGAAACTTTATTATAAGTTAAATATTGCGCTTTTTTTTCACAAATTTAGAGCGTTGTATATTTTAAAATTAAAAACTTTAAAATTATCTGAAACTTTTGAATGCATATGTGACACGAAAACAATAAATAGAAATATTTGCATATTATTTAGGGCTTAATAATATACATTTTGTATACACATTTTGTTTACAAATAAATACAAATTTAAATTTTAAAATGAGAGTAGAGTGCACAATAAAAATTATTCTGTCCACACATTGAAGTTATTATTCATCAGATTACATATAAAACTTATATATATTATATCTGATAAAATAATCTAAACAAGTTATATATCGCTTATTTTTTTTATTTTCGGTTACATATGTATTTAGATTTCCAGAGCGCTGTAAAATATTTTAAAATTAAACTTTAAAAAATCTGAAACTTTTAAATGCACATGTGATATGAAAATCATAAATAGAAATATATATAATAATGTTGATAAATATATGTTGATGAGGTATTTATTTTTATATTTAATATATTGCATATTATTTTGGTTAAGAAAATGAATACAAATTTAAATTTTAAAATAAGAGTAGAGCTAGTCATAAAATTATTCTGTCTCTGGAAATTATATTATTCCAAAGATTATATATAATTATTATAATATAAATGAACAAAACAAATTATATTTCGTTTGACTTTTTTCTTTTCAATCACACGTTTCCAGGATTTGAACAAAGTTTAAAAAATATTTACAACTTTCAAATACATATGTGCCTTAAAATAAAAATATGGCTAAAAATTTTCATTCAAATATTTGTTCCTTTATTGTTCTTTCCATTATCTAATACCCTTGTAATACGATTTTAGAGAGTAAAAATTTAAATTCTAAAACATATGATTTACTGGTTGCCAGAGTCATTTTATTGAACACAAACTTATGGATCAATAAGTTCAAAGGGCTAGAGCGGTTTTGGAATAGATGTTCTGAAAAGTAATGAAATAAAATATTCAGTGTTTAATACATCTATTTAAAAGAGAATAATGACAAAATAACACCATCTCGTTAAGAATTAACACTACCAAAAACAGTGTCATTTACAATACGCTAATTTTCACAAGTGGCAGTAGTCATACTAATAGTATTTTTTATATATCATAATAATTTACTTTGTTATTTAGGAGATACAACAGTACACTATATTTTATTAATACACACTCATCAAGAATTAACAGGTAGATATAGGGATCACTTTATTACATATTAAGTATATTATTTTGTGTGAAACTACAGACTCTCTCTCATGCTTTGTACATATCTTAACTATGTAAGTATGGATAAATAAGTAGAAATCAAACTGGTGTAAGGTATAAAAAAATGGTAAAAATAATGTTAAATACAGGTAATTACAGTTAGAAGTATTTATGGCTGCAGGAAATTTTAGCAACAATTCTAAACTCCACCAGAGGATTGAACTTGGGCACCTTGGAACCATTCAGTCTCTTTGTACAAGAACCATAGATCAGCAGCCCAAAGGAAAAAATTCAAAAATCCAAAAATCTACAGAGAAACATTAAATGTGTTTGAATCTTTTAAATAACGTAACATAATATACATACACCTCTAAAAAATCATATTTCTTACCACAGAGATGTTAAGTGTTGAATAACTGCTAGTAACAATTTTACAACAGTCGGGGGTACTAAAAGAAGGATTGCTAGTTGCTGACTTTAACCCTGATAATCCATTAGCCCAAGCTGCACTACTAGATAACCAAAGAACTGCCAAAAATACTGTTATTAAAAAGTCCTAAAAATTAAACTAAACTTTAGCAGTGTCTCAAAATACACTATATCTAAAACTATAAGCTTTAAAGTTATTCCATTTAATGCTGCGGTCTATAACTTACGTAAAGCGGATACTTTTTATTTGCCTTATAAGCCTCATCCATTTTAGCATAGACTAATATAATAGCTATGGAATAAAGCATGGCTAGCACTCCTGTGGCGACGAAAAATTTTGCATCAGACGAAAAATCATTAGATATGGAAACTGTGCAGCTATTATTATTATTTACAGATTTAGCTACACTTATACTGAATGGATATGAAAATTCTATTTGTGAATTTTTATCACATAAGAGAGTGATATAGCCTGTATAGTCAACAATTGTTGCGAATGCACAAATTGAAAATACCTAAAACATAAATAATAAAGTGATCTACCGTGATCTCTTATTAGTAAACTTTATCAATAGTTGGGAATAAGTATTTGATAAAGATCAATATTGGTATTTATTATGAATATAAACCCTATAAAAAAGGAACAGTACTTACAAAATGAAGTATTCTCATTACCCCTCTGGGCTCTTGGAAAGCTGAGAAGTTCAAATCCATTTTTTTAAACGATTCTGGATCTTAGATGATAGTATGATCGGAAATTTTAAACTACAGCGGGAATTAACTACGTTACTTAACCCACTTTTAATACGAGATTTATGAAGTTTATCCAAAAAATAAATTGACATACACTCCTTTTAATTGAAGGTTGTCTTGGCTGGTAAAGTTTTGACAACTCTACATGAACTCTACTAGGGTTGGAAGTTGGAAAGTATCGATACAAATTCTCACCATATATCACAAACAAAAAAATCCTGGAATTGGATAAAAACAAATACAAAATTCGCTGATATAAATTGCTTCTCTTATTTCTCGCAAACCCAACAAAAAATTAAACATATAGACAACCTAAAAATCTCAATCTGTGAATGTTGGGTTGCCTAAAATTGATATAAATTGCAACCCCTACTTTTTTTTTAAATATGTATTCTTCAATTAATAAAACTTCTGTAATGAAATGGAAACAGTGAAAAATATCGCCATTAAACTTTATTTATTAATTACTAAATTATAAATTTCTTATAGTTATTTGGCGTAGCCCTGTTGTTGGAAAAATAGTATTTTTCTTACTAATTACACGGTTATTATTTAATGCACATCAATAAAAAACCTTGATTTTTGTATTGTTATAAAATCAAGCATCGGAAAAATGAGTTGTGGGTATATAGTACATTTACATAAAGAAATAAATAATGTTAGAAGCATGCCAAAAATATTAGTAATGCTATGATATCACTGACAATTTAAGAAATGTATTACTGCCGAGTATAAAAGTATTTTTAGAAAATAGACAACAAATTATTTTTAGATGTCTCTTCGTAGACTACCAATACACACCAACTAAAGATTAATTTCTGAATATGTTATAGGGATTAATAAAAACCAGGACATAAAATAAAAAAATATGCGTATATATTAAATTGTATTTATAATAAACCTCTTAATTATGTATATTTTATTGTGTACCACTTTATTAATATTGCGCATCGTTTACGCAAGTTCAGTTTCTGGTAACAATTCCTTAATATTCGTATACTCAGAACCAGAATTGAAAAATTCAACTAATTCACTAAAACTAGGCCTATCGTCTGAGTTCATCGCCCAACATTTCAGCATCATCTCAAAAATATTGTCTGGACATGCAGCGGGTTGCTCTAACCTTTGTCCATTATCAATTAATTTTATTGCCTAGAACAACAAAGTTATATGGAAACAGATTTAATGAGGTTTCTTTTTTTAATATCAAATAATTACCTCTGCCCCTTTTTTGTCACCGTAAGGTGCAGCACCGAAAGAGTACATCTCCCAAATCGTCACTCCGAAGCTCCATACGTCGCTTTTATTTGAAAATTGACCGTAATTATACGATTCTGGAGCGTACCATTTCAAAGGCCATTTCCCACCTCTAAGAGCTCTGTAAAAACATTTTTTTATATACACAGATGCCAAAAAAAAACGCAATGGAAATTTTTTTAGTAAAACTTAAAGCTTTAAATTTTTTATTTCTAGCCCTATTTTTATATTCTTTTTAGCAAACAGTATATAAATATATCAACTTCCGTACACAGTTAACTTTGGTATTTGACTAATTATACAGGGTTATTAGAAGGGTCGATTTTTACCGACAAACTTTCGATTAACCCTGTATAACAAGCCATATATTAAAGTTTATTAACATACAGTTTGCTAAAAAAGATCATGAAAATAGGACTAAAAATAAAAAATATAATACTTTTAAATTCGACGAAAAATTTTTCGGTTGCCTTTTTTTGCAACTTAGTGTACATATGTATATTAAAACGTAAATTCATAATATCTCCCTTCAGATATTCTGAATTATAAAGAGTTTACCTGTAGTATTCGTGGCCGGTTCCAAGGGCTCTGGATAATCCAAAGTCGCTTATTTTCGCCTGAAGTTTCGAAGCAAGCAAAATATTTCTTGCCGCCAAATCTCGATGGACAAACCTATTCTCTTCTAAATATTGCATACCTAAAATTGAAAAAAAAATTACAATAAAAGAACTATTAAGTAAACTTTCTTCAGTTAAAATAATTGATATGTTTTTCCTTAAATAATACAAAAAATTAATACACAGAAAAAATCCTACCGCAAGCAATTTGAGCAGCCCAAATCTTAAATTCATAATTTGGATTGATTTCAGTACTGTGAGTATCGATATACTGTAAAATCGATCCTAAAGGCACTAGTTCCTGTATCATTTGTAATGGTGGTCCAATACAAATCCCCAACAATTTGACGATACAATGGTGATTCAAATTAATCATCACCCTAGCCTCTGACAAAAATGCCTCCTCATTATCCAACTGTTCTTGTCTCAGAGTTTTTATGGCAACTTTTGTGTTTGAATTATCCGTGTTCAGTAAGGTTCCTATAGAATTATGACTGTTATTTATTAGTTTAAAATTTATATAGATAAGAGAATTACAAACCTTCAAAAACTGAAGCAAACTCGCCTTCCCCAATCAAGTTTCCCCTCGACAATCTACTAATGCAGATGTAGTATTTTTCTTTTTCTTTAGTGTTATTATTATTGTTATTGTTATTTGCTAAGCTCAAGTCGCTCTTAAAACTGATATTTTGGAAAATATCAGGACTAGATGTGGAGATATCTGTACTATTGATAGCGGATGGCAATTGCAATTTTGGTTTTGTTAAAGTTTGGTTTTTCCTTTTCAATGTAGAAAGCTACAAATAAGCAGCTATACAGTTATACATTCTTTATAATTTTCAAGTTAAAAATAGTTCATAATTTTTTTATTATTTGGAAAACTTACAGGTGGTACATGTGGTTTAGGAGATGGTGGAACTGGAGTTATTAATATTGTTGGTAAACCATCAGGCAATGACTTGTAGTAGTCAACAACATGCTCCAACGAATTCAAAAATGGACCATCATCAATAAACAGATATTGATCCTGTAAATATACAGAAATTAAGTTCAATATGTGTATTTTAAATTGTCATTCTACCTTTCTTCTTATTATATAATTCCATACTTTTTCTTCATGGAATAATGTCAACACGTCTTCATTATTTCTATCACTAAATCTCACCAAGAAAGTGCCACTTTGTGGGTTACTTTTTCTTATTATAGCTTCAGCTTCATGTCTACCTAACGTTCCGTGATAAAACTCGCCTCTACTAACTTTAGGCTCTGGAGACTTATAATTTTCTAAAATAAAAGTTAATAACTATTATTGCTTTTATTATTAAAGTATATTACCTAATAAAATAACACACTCTTCATGGTCGTGTTTTCTAGCAAGATCAATTGGTAAATTTCCATCCTTGGTTCTGGGATGTACAGGGGCATTTAAACTTAGTAATTCCTTTATCACTTCTTTGTGGCCTTTGCTAGCTGCCACATGCAATGGCACCTCACCACTATTTGTATTCCTAGCTTGAATATTTGCATTTCCCGATTCAATTAGCAATCTCACTGTTGCAGGAAAATTATATTCACAGGCATACTGTAAATATAGAAATATACCTCAATACAGAAAACTGGAGATTAAGAAAAATGTGCTTACATGCAAAGGCGTAAAGCCAGCAGCATCACGAAGATTGACATTAAATTCACGTTGAATAAAATGCCTTAAAATATCATTTTGTCCCTTTTTAGCAGCTAAGTGGGCAGCAGTTTCTCCGTTTTGGTTTTTGGCAAGAAATCCATGATAACCGTTTTTTAATAGAGCAGTAACTACAGTATAATCGCCCTGATCTGTAGCCCTATGTAATAAATTAGTGTGACCCTGCCTACGAGAGTCGTGTGGCGGTAAACTCCCTTTAATATACTCAGTTAAAACCAGGCCGTCATCGGATAAAGGATTTGTTTTGTAGTAGTTTATAAGATTTTCTAGACCATGTATTTTTACACATTCATCTAAAACATTTTTAAGTAAAACTACCTATTTATAAGTCTATCTCTACGTACCTATGGAAAAGAAGGCATCTTCTTGGTGCTTCCTTATCTGATAATTATTTACTTGCTCATTGTATAAAACTGAGAGGGCATAATCACAAGGAGAAGATATACTGCCTCGAACTAAGAAGAGTCCATTACATTGTCTGGAGTCTTGAAAAAGGATATTTTGGTTTATTCAAGCCTAGTACTATTCATTGTTCAAATTTTCCTTACCATTCAACAGTAGGTTTTCACCTTCTTCCCTACTTATTTTAGGGTGATACCAACAAATATCATCATAATTATTCATTCTTTATTATCATTATCGACTCTGAAGTTTTAATTATGCAGTATTATTAATTAAATTATATTTCAAACAAACAATAAAACAACAAAAAAACATCCAATAGGGGAATTTCTCTAACACAAAAACATTTCTTGACAGATATGGACAATCGACAATCTATCTGACAATTAGGAATTGACAGAAAATATAATTACCACTACGTTCCAAGATCACCAAGATGCGCTAATGGATTAATTATTTTTCTCAAATTATAAAGATATTTTTATAAAATATTTTTTTACCAATTATTATACCTGCTTAAATTGATGTTTTCAATTCGGAATAGAGTGGACAAAATATCAGAAGTGCATTTGCTAATAAACTTTCAAACGCAATCGATTCCCTGTTTTCTAAAATAGTTTGATCTTAAAAATAACTTAAGCTAATTTACTTATAATGTTCTATTTTAAGAACGAATATCTCATCATTTAAAAATACCATTAGAATCCTAAAATTTTTACGATAATTGGTTTTTATCGTCATCTTTATCGAAATATACTTAAGTAGAAGAAGGGTGTACATCTCGTGTTTTACTGGTTGCATTTAAGTTAAAAGGGGCGCCAACACTTAGTATTCAAATATTATTTTGCTAAATAAAGTTGATTAATTAATTTTGCAAAGATGGATTTGAGGTTCTGGATAATTCTTACTGATAACTAGACAGCTTTTCGCAATAGATTTACTAATATGTTATACTTCGTTTATATCTATTATTACTATAATAGGAGTGTATTAGGTTCATATACACATTCCTGCTATGTTTATAAAAGAAAATGCGATGTGCGCTTAAAATCGAAGATGTTGAAGCTAAAGATAGGTGTATGTTTTCTTCAGTAAACAATTTAACAAGCATCGTCTGTGTGTCAAACACACATACACACCTGCATAGGCCTTGGAATTCCCTCACCTTCGCAGCTCTGAAGCAAGTCGCTGCGGCGATCAATCTCTTCAAGTAGGTAGGCTAGGTATGGTATCGTGGGTTAGTATGGTGAAATTAATGGCGATCGGCGTTGTTTTCATGAAAAAGTGTGTGATACTAGCGACAAAATGCCAAGGAAACTACTAAAATTCCTGATTTTGTTCGACAACACCTCCCTGCTCTATTTTCCCGGTCAGTTCCTGAGTGGTAGAGTCCTTATTGAGTTGCAGGACAACACAGCTGCCTTGGGTGAGATATTTTTCAGTAATTTATGTTCAAACTAAAGGCAACAATAACGTTCAAATTGATTAGGAATTGGTTGCGTGTTTTATGCTAAACAAACAAGCATTTAAATGGTTTTTTGTACTAATTAAATAAACAAGTTATGGAAAATTAATCTAATTAAACAACTTTTATTAGTTAGACGCGGATGTATAAGATTTTATTATTTTTTTTTAAAAGAAATGACAAAAATTATTTAAAATGTTTATACCGAATACTGAGATTCCTTTTTCTATTTACAAATACTACAGTTAACACCTTTTTGCAAATATAATCTCTCTTGTTCTCGAAATGGGCATACTACACCGCCTAAAGCAAGGATATCGCTTAATGAGTAGGCATACCAAATATGTAAATTGCCATTACCGATCACAGTATTCATTAAGGATTCACAAATATATTTTAATTTATCTACAAAAATATTAAGTGTATACAAATATAAAGAGAAACTTAAAATTAATTAACATATGAGTTAAAATAGAAATGTTTTTAACTATATGAGCTGCAAGACTTTTTATCCAACAATTATTGTAATATTTCAGTTTTTATTTTAATGTATCTATGGTTCTTCTATCAACAACCAAATATATTATCTCAAGGTTTTCTAACTAATTACCTAATTTAATTGAAGTTTTTGATGCTACATTCCGTTTGAAGGATATATAATGCCAGTGTCTTTTTTAGGACTACACTTTCACGTTGTGGGAGAAGGTGTCGTACGTGTTCAAACCCCTCGACAAGAAAGGGTGTACGACAAAGAAAATTACATCGACTTTCGAATGAGGTTACTGGGAGAACCAGGTATAAATTATATACAGGGTGGTCCGAATTGGAATCGGGAAACTTCGGGAATATATTCTGCAGATCGAGAGATTTTTTGCCTAAAAAACTGCGTAAATGTTTTTTTTTCCGCAGTAGTGTGTAACACAGATACTGTTCAAAACTGTTCAGGAACTGTTCAAAACAGTTAAAAAAGGAGTTGTAGGAGTCACACTAAATTTCCTCCAAATATTGACGTTAGTTCAGAAATTATTTAAAAAAAAACGAAATAAAAGTGAAACTTCTACATCCTATATCGGAGCGAACCATTTTAGGATATACATTTACACGAAGTTTTTTACTTATTTTTAGCTGCAGAATATATATTGCTAAAGTTTCCAGAATACAGTTGGGACAACTTCGTAAGTGTCCTGATCTTAAAAAGAAGTAAAAAAGCTTGAAACCCAGATAGTTTTCTTAAAAACTTCATTTACAAATATTGAATTTTTAGGACAAGGGCCATCAATATTATCTCCGGGCATCCACAGTTTTCCTTTTAAGTTAGGATTACCATCTGGTTTGCCATCTACGTTTTTAGGAAAACATGGTTGGGTACAATATTATTGTAAGACGGCATTGCGTGAACCCAACGGTCTCACACATAAAAATCAACAAGTTTTTATTGTTATGAATCCAATAGACTTAAACTTAGAGCCAGGTATTTTTAGGGTAAGGAACTTTAACTTGCTCTATTTACAGTAGGGTTTCCATACAAGTTCTTGGAAATTGCGGACAAGTGAGTTCTGAAATCTGGAATAATGAATTTATTTGAACGGGAGAATACCTGACAGTGAGAGTTGTTTTTTGTCATTTTGATTCACAGGCAAATTGTATTTTAAGTCATTGTTTGGATGTCGTCTGACGATATTCTTCTCTTTCTCATTGGACAGACAGACGGAGAGACTTTACTTAAATGGGGAAATTAAAGGGCAATTCAATTGGCTCTTTTGCCTTCGTGAGCAGTACTAATATTTGTACTGCATACGTTACAAATGACTTCAAAATGTTATTATCTATTTTAGTAAAAGAGAAAACTTGGAGCATTTCATTAGTCATTACAGATTTTCGTTTTGGCATTGTTAAATGCTTAATTTTATTGGTAATATTAAATATTAGATATTATAAACCGATACTTCTGAACCAATTTACCGGTTGAGTCAGGAAAGATTTCGACAGATGCTATTCAAAATATGACATGAAATAGGTACAATTTATTTGTGAATTAAAATGACAGTCACAACTGTCACTGCAATGGATAGTTGGACGACCTTCATATGAGCACGTATTCATAACAAAATAAAGACAAAAGAGCGTACAATTCACATCCTCGTGTGCCTTCAAGAAAAAAAATTACGAAATATAGATTACGTGACACCCTAACGATTAAAAATTCAACAAAATTAATTTTCGGACATTTTTTAAATTTTTGCGGTACCACCCTGGACACCATAAAAACCTGGACATATGCCGGTAAATCCGAACGTATGGAAACCCTATTTTTACACGAAATAAAGTAATTTTTCAAAACATATAGAAATAGGTTTAATAAATGTTTCTGGACCTTTCCCTCACTCTGTATAGCCTATTTTCTTCACACTTCTGCTCGACCTTTTGCACACATTTCCTCTGACCTGTCTTTTCTGTTGTTTCTGATCTAATTTAGAACATTTCGGGACAGGAATCATTCAAATGCGAAGTAGAGCACAAGTTTGGAGTTTCTTGCGTAGGATCTGGAGCGGTGGTATGCAAAGTGACTCTGGACAGGGGTGGATACGTCCCTGGTGAAAGTATAGGTAAGATTTATATGCAATATGAATTCACAAATAAGATTATTTAACCCTTTGAAGGTGTTTCTGCAAGCGTGTTAAACAGGAGTAGAGTAACTATCAAAAGTACAAAAGCCGCTTTAACTGAAACCATTACATATATGGCTAGGGGCAAAATAGTGCAAGTAGACAAGAGAGAATTGACTGTGTTAACTAAAGGGAAAATCAGGCCAGGAGAAAAAGACGAGTGGGTCAATGAACAACTGTACATTCCTCCATTACCCCCAACAAATTTAAAAGGGTGCCATTTAATTAGAATTAATTATGACGTGTTTGTAAGTAATATTTTTCTAGAAGCAAAGTTTATATTGTCATATAATAATATATAAACATAGAAAATGTAATGCAAATTTTGAACTGTCCAAATAAAAAAACGGCTTGTCCAAAATTGTTCATATTTGACATGTACATGACGTATTCATACGCAGACCTTTAATAAACCTATTTATGACTTTGTAAAAATCAACACTGGAGCTAATATTTGGACAGTTCAAAATTTGCATGGGATTTTCCATGATTCCAACGCCGATAAACCACCCAACCACCCGGTATACAAGGGTTGAAAAAAATCACAAAATCACAGCACCGAAGGTATGGAAAGGTTTATATATGCTAAAAGTACATAATTTGCCTGCAAATATAATAGAATTGTTATAATTTTATCACTAAGGTTACTATTTATTTGAGTACCTTGAAAAAGTCTAAGAAATAGCTAAAAATTTGCCACTTTTTCCATGCTTATAGTTGTGAAAATGACTGAGTTTGGTCAAGTCACCGATATTGTTAAAACTACCTACTGTTATTTACTAACTGGAAGGCGCAGAATATATACTATTCTATTCATACACATACTGTTTTAGACATAGGCAATGTTTTAGCTATAATCAAAAATCGTTAAAAAACAAGGGTTAAAAATATTGATTTTCTGTCTAAATCACAGCCATTCGAGGCATTTAAGCCAGGTTTATATAAAATACAAAAAAAATCCTACAAATTTTAATAATTTTATCACTATTTCCCCGAACGCCTCGAAAATTAGTAAAAACAATCATGAAAATTATCGATTTGGGTCAAGATTATGACGTGAAACATGAACCTACTGTAATTAACTAATTAAAAGGCATAAAATAAGGAAACATAGGCCTTATTTGCTTTACAACTACGGTAATAAATGATAAGAAAATTTAAACCTTTAAAAAATCGTTCAGAAAGAAGGAGCCGAAAATTGATTTGTTTTCACAAAATCACAGCATCTAAACTTTTAAAATTTTATGTATTCTAAAAGTACATACAATTTCCTACAAATGCTGAATTTTTAAAAGAATTATCACGGCGTTACTATTTTTCTACGAGCATTAAAAGTTGACTTGAATTCTTTCGTAGAATTACGATTTCACTGTTCCTATTATTTCAGTGTGCATTAAATGCAGTTCCAGCGAACTGCATTTAATGCACTTTTTACATTACAAAATAATCTAATATGTATTTGCTTTCAGTTCATAGTAGAACCAAGTGGATTGCAAAAAGAAGTCAAGTTACAATTACCGATTTTAATGGCCACATATCCTCTTAGAGCAGGTGATGATGAAAACAGCATGAAAGCTGGCACGCATTATCCTTCTACATTACCAATTTTCCGGCCATGGTTAGAAGAAAAACCTTTATAATATCGTACTGTGATTGAAAAAACAGACAGCTTAATTACTAACTCGACATTCTTAATTTATTGTAATAAATCCGTACTAGAGATACTTTTTATATGCGACTGTAATATAGTTATCAGTTTATTAAAATGTTTAACCTGTTATATTTTGAAATAAAAAAAATATATTTCCTATTCCCTTTATTTCTTCATACTGGTAAAATGTGTAACAAAAAGTATTCTTGGTTGCAATGTTGTAAATATGTATTTTTCTTAGGGCTAAACATTATGATCAGTAGGGTGCACCAAAAAAAAATATATTTTTTTTTTATTTCTTTTTGGTCACAGAGAAAATATCCTTCACGATGACGAAAAAAATGCGGGTAAAGTTTGACCTGTTATATTAATATTAAGAGGGGTCTCATCGTGATTTCCTATTTCCCATTTAAATAAAGTAAAGTAAAGTAAAGTAAATTATAATAATACGGGAACATTTTATTATTTACGATTATTTGTATTTCGTAAACAATTTCAAAGTTTTATCAAAGAACACTTTGTTTAGGAGCCATTATTTCGTGATAAAATATAAAAAATTTTGAAAGTTATCATATACGATTTGAAGTTGAAATTTAACCTTGAATAACTTTTAAATGAGTCGATTAAATGAAAAATCATATCAGACATTTTTTGAAGACCGTTCAATTTCCTACAAGAATATGTACTGATTTATACAATACGCTGATTTGTTAGAACGTAATAAAATTAAAAAGAAAATTGTTTTCCTTCTCAAAATTCTAAATAAAAAATCACGACGAGACAGATACCTCTTAATCTCTTAATATTAATATTAAGAGGTTTAATTTGCCAGATTTTATCATCGTGAACGACATTTTCACGGTAACTAAAAAGAAAAAAAATATGTTTTTTTTTGGGTGCATCCTAATGATCAGTCTAACTATTGTTTAGTTCTTTTTGTAGGTAATTGAAGCTGAAAATTTAGACATATAACTCATGTACAGTATGTCCCAGATTGTCTTTACAAGAGGAAAAACTTTTTTATTATTGACATTTTGGAAAAAAAATGCATTCCTGATTAAAATTTTTGCTTGTTCTAAAATGAATTTGTTCCTAAAAGTTGAAGTCCTAAAAATTAAAATGCGTTTCTATGGCAACATAACTTCGTTTTCATTCTTTGATATATTGTTAATCATAGAATTTTAATTAACGTAATGTTTTTTGTTGTTTTAAAATGTTAACGAAGCACAAAATTTATTTAGTGCAATGCTAATAAGGAAGGGGTTATGATAGTTATAGGAAAATATTATACTTTAACAACAGCAAAGAATATGACATCAATCAAAATTAATAATAACCATCTATCAAAGAATGAAATCGTTTTTGAAAAAGAATTTTCTCTAAAACGGTATGGAAATTTGGGAAAGTATAAACGGGATTAAACCATTTTAGAAACAGCAAAAATTTTAATCAAGAATGCATTTTTCTCAAAATGTCAATAATAAAAAGTTTTTCCTCTTGTAAAGACCATCCGGGGACATACTGTATATTACATAACCTGCAAATAAACTATATTATTATCAATAAAAATTTAAATTTAATGCACTGAAATATTCGTATTAATTATTTATAAACTATTAAAGGCTATGAAAATAAATTTAAGAAAATTACTTATTCGAATAATTAGTATGTAATTATATTTAAATGACCGAAAGAGTATCAATTTTTGTAATTAAATATTATATTAAGAGGCGCACCTTTATTCTGGCGGATTCCCTGCAGGAATCTGGTTTTTCCTCTTTAAATTACGCGACTTAATTAAGAATTTTAATTGTTTATTTAGCCATGACTTAAACAATTGATATTTTGTTTTTGTGGCAAACCGCAAAACTGTATCAGCGTACCTATCAACGCTTCGCAACAAACCTTGTGATTTTTGTTTTATTTTTAGTCAGGTAAATTTAACTTTATACTTTTGCACTTTTAAGAAGCCTCTTTATGTTGTATATTATATTATAATTAAGTTATTAATACCGTATTAAAGACATTTTGTTCTTTTTTCAAGAAGGTATATATATATATATATATATATATATATATATATATATATATATATATATATATATATATTTTTTTTTTTTTTTTGCAAGGTGGTTAATCTTTATGTGTAAATTGTTTTTCAAAACGTGAAATATATTGAATGAAGAATTCTTTAAGGCTGGATAGTAATATAATTCTTGGCGGTTGCCCTTAATTGGATAAAAAATTGTGTAAGGTTGGCGACCCCTTCCATAGTGTGTTTTACCGTTAATATCGGATGCACCATAACGAAGGCCTCCTTGTCTGTGTAACAATATAATCGTAGTTTGTGCCCACACCAGCAATCAACATCAATGAGTAGTGCTAAAGCCATAACCAACGAATTGTCAGATTTAGGTAAGTTGCACGAAATAACGTTGTTAAAAGAAAAATTAAGAAATAAACAAATTAAACTAAACCAGAATCCTCAGACATATGTATGTATAAAAAATTAGAATAATTATAATCGATGATTAAAGCTGTTTTTATGATTTTTTGTATAAATATCAGTGATTAATTGCTATATTAAAACATATTATTTATTATATATTAAACAGTTTTAAAGAAGTTTAAAACAGCTATACATATGTATATAACAGTTTAATTAAAACAATATTTTGTAAATAGCAAAAATTTATAATTAACAGAATATTTTTCTGTTAGTTATTACTTGGTGAATTTATTTTAATGTATTAGTGTTAATGTTAAATATTAAAAATGTTTAAAACATTAATTAAATGCGACCAGTTATAGGGAGCTATTATTTAACAAAAAAGTAATAGAAAATTAATTAATTTTTAATTATACATAGTTGCCGAATCAACTACAAGGATACATTTTTGTTTGATGTGGAAAGCATAATTAAAAAATAATTTAAAGAAAACACTAACATTTTAAAAATAAATTACAAAGTTTACGGTATTATTGATTAAAATTGTATAATAGTAGGGGAGTCCAAGATGCTAAATGTAGACTTACACGAGCGTCGCGCGTCGTGCGGACTTATTTTATTGTGATGATGATTTACTTCAAAATAAAAAATCCAGGTTGACCAGTGACGTTTTTTTGCAACTTTGTGACTCCCATTTCCTTAAGTCACGCTGAAATCGTCGTATTATTTAAACGCGCACTTTTCTGCATATAATTAGCTCACCTTGCCTTAATCTGACACCCTCGAGTTTTCTAATGATACTTTCTTTTACTACTCTGATTACTGCCTTATATGCACGACTCTGTATAAAAGATTCATGCATGGCGAGGATACTTAACAGGGTGCAATGTTATTCTGCCTCGCTCGAGTAAATCCACAAATTCAAGCTTGTGCTCCCCTACTATAGGTAAGTAGCCAAGCTATTCTATATGCGAAACGTATATCAAAGAAATTTTGAGTCAGAATTATTCAGCTACTTAATATGGACAACCTTTACTTCCTTCCTTATATTAAATATTATATTGGTAGACTTGAGTTGACATTCTTCGAGTTGATACATCCTCTATTTTTTGAATATTTTATATACTGGGCGGTCCGAATTGTATTCGGGAAACTTCGGCATCATATTTTATAGATAAAAATAAGTAAAAACGTTTTTATAAATTTATGTCCTAAACTGCTTCGTTTCGGAGATGCATGGTATAGAAGTTTCATTATTATATCGGTTTTTACCAAATAATGTAGGAACTATAATCGATATTGGGATAAAAATTGATATCTGGGTGTTTTTTGACATGAGGAATTTGATTTCGATGTCAATAATATGACTCCTGCTTGTAGGGAGCGCCATCTACATGTGTTTTAACTCATTTAAAGATTAATAACTTTTTGTTCGTACCTGTATAAACCTACTGAGTAAAAAAAAGAAATATATAAAGATATTTAGAATAGAAATAGTTAATACATGTAATTATTGACAAAAAATAATCGAAATAAAAATGAAACTTCTACACTCTGTATCGATTTTTTTATCTATTTTTATCTGCAAAATATATGCTACCGAAGACTCCCGATTACAGTTCGGACCACCCTATATATATTTTCAAACTAAAGAATTTTTTTTAGCAGATCTTGACAGTAACTTAACAAAAAAATGGAAGAAATTATGCCAGCGATGTTCATCATTGAGAAGCTACGCCACGCTAGATACTTCTAAATATGCCTTTACGACATCGTCTTTAAGATTTCCAAGCAGCACGAAGAAAGTACAGGATGCTCTGAAAGTAAAACTTAACCAGATGAACCTAGGATTTAAAAAAAGAAAAACACTCTCTGTCCAAGAGTTATTTCATCAGCAGGAAAATTATGCACCTGCTACAAGTGAATTTCGACATTACGGACACACTGCACCGTCCAGAAATATCCACGGAGTAAAACCAGGATCCTCTTTTAACCTCAGGTGAAATTTAGATCAAAAATTTCGGTTAGTTCAATAGAAAACAAGATTATTATATTTTTTAGCGTCGATAATGTAGGTCGCGTTCATTGCTATGAACCACCACCTGACTACGATGTAGATCTGACGAATCCACAAGCAAAAAGATGGTCTTTGGCTTCTAACGACATAAAGAACAGAAATCATTATGTCTATAGCATGCAGGAAAGCTTCAATTATAATCGAAACTACACTTTAAAGATACCAAAGTCTAAAACGTTAAATCATTATCATATAGACCAAATAAAGAGTCACTTTCACGACAGGATGAAGGATGGATACGAACATTCGTTGAAGACTCATTGTTCTCGAAGATCCTACGCTGGTATAGATTCTATAAAAGAGGTAGGAAGTTTCTAATGAACTCTGATTTCTATAAATAATATCTATACCTTTGTGGCCGGTTCAATTCTTGAAAAGACTTTTGTGTTTTTGGTCACTAGAAGAAACCACAAAATAAAAAAAAAATCATGATATGATTTCTATGTCACACTATTTTTTTGCAGAATACTTTAGATGAATTACCAGAAATTAATGTAAAAGACAGATATTCTTTTCCTAAAGCTAGGAGTACGTTCACTATTAAAAAAATATGTTTCCAAAAAGGTTCGCAATACAAACCGCTGGGTTTCAGCATTGTGGGTGGAAGAGATTCTCCGAAAGGAAATATCGGGATTTACGTAAAAACAATTTTTATTAATGGACAAGCAGCAGAAAGCAATAGTTTGAAAGAAGGTTTGTTCTATGGTAATGTACTTGTTTGTTATTCAGAATTATTTTTCAGGCGATGAAATACTGGCTGTCAATAATATTCTTTTGCATGGTGTTGCACATAAAGAGGCAGTGAATATTTTTAAAAATATAAGGTCCGGCACTGTGTTACTACATATAGGGAGAAGAATAATAAACTGATATAAAATAGAAGTAAAATCATGTCTAAGAAATTGACTTAATATACCAAATTACTACCAAAGTATTACTATAAGAATAAGTAATTTTTGTAAAATTTTATATGATTAAATATTAAGTTATTACCTGATTTTTATATTTCCTATTAAAATAACTAATATTTCTGCAAACAGGGTGGTCCGAATTATAAACTTTGTCAACATATTCTACAGATAAGAATAAGTAAAAAAGTTCGTATAAATTTATGTTTCGTTTCGGAGATACAGGGTGTAGAATTTTAATTTTTAATTTAATGTTTTCCAAACTTCTGCACGTTGTATCTCCGAAACGAATAATTTTAGAGCATATATTTATAGCTACGAAGCTTTTTATTTAATTCTACAATATGCCCGATTTCAATTCGGACCAACCTGTATACAGGGTGGTCCGACCAGGGTGGACCAACCTGTATACAGGGTATTCCGGAAACTTAGGCAGCATATTCTACAGATAAAAATAAGTAAAATAGTTCGTATAAATGTATGTCCTAAAATGCTTAGTTTTGGATATACAGGGTGTAGAAGGTTCATTTTTATTTCAATTTTTTTCCAAAAATTTAAAAAGTAACGTCAATATTTGGATGAAAATTGGTATCTGGGAGTTTTTTGACATGAGAAATTTGATTTTGATGTCAATATAACTTCTACTTGAAGAGGGCGCCACCTACATACTTTTTAACTGGTTTGAAGAATAATAAATTTTCGTCCGTACCTGTATAAAACTACTGAGTAAAAAATATACATTTACGACGTTTTTTACGTAAAAAAGATCTCTTGGTAAAAATCGCTACGAGTAATGATTCTCGAGATATTTGGAATCGAAATTATCAATACCTGTCATCATTGACAGAAATTAAATATGTTTAAATATGAAATCATAAATTTGAAATGTTTTGTGCCAAAAGTTCAACAGAAATAATTTTGTCATCATTTTTTCGCAGATTAATTTAAACAAAAATTGCCAAATTTATTATTTCAGTCAAATAACTATCTATATACTCAACGTGTTTATTTTTTCCCAATAATGACATGTATTGACTATTTTCATTCTAAATATCTTGAGAACGGTTGCTCGTAGCGATTTTTACAAAGAGATATTTTTTACGTAAAAAGTCACGGAAATGTATATTTTTTTACTCAGTAGTTTTATACAGGTACGAACGAAAAGTTAATACTCTTCAAAACAGTTAAAACACAAGTAGGTGGCGCCCCCTGCAAATAGGAGTCATATTGACATCAAAATCAAATTTCTTATGTCAAAAAACGGCCATACGCCACTTTTCATTCAAATATTGACGTTACAAGAATATCTAGAATAGTACTGTCTACATTTTTTAAACTAATAATTCAGTATAAATATTAATTGATTTTAATCTACATATTCATCAATAAATGAATCACCATACTGTAATTTGTAATTAAAAAAAGCTATTTCTCATCAAAGAACAGCTAAAATTGACTGGAATGGAATTGAAGTCTCCTTTTTTGTTGTGTTTTGTTTTAACTCCTACTACACACATTCTCACCTGCGTAAATTATGTAAGATGTAATAATAATTCAATTGGAGGTAATAATTCTTTTATTGAGATATAAAGAAAAACAACATTTAAAGTCAATTCACACAGTATTGGTAAGTTTGTTATATTGCATCACTATACGATTTGCTTCTTTTTTCAAAAAATGGGCGCTCAAAAATACTTCTTTCGTGTTCTAGAGCTGATTTAATATTTCTTGCTGAATTGCTTATGCTCATATTATCAGAAAAATTGACAACATCCCCAAATGAGTTTTCCAAATTTGTTGGTTTGGTTTCAAGGCGTTTTTGAGTTAAAATAAGGGAACAGCGTCGAAGGACACTTTTTTTCGAGCTATCTCTTTGGTCTTGTACAGAACTGGGATTGGCATAGTTGGAAATAAAAGTTGAGGCTGAGCTTAGACCGGATCTGCTCGTTTTTTTGCATAAATTGAAACAACCACCGAATATTTCTGATAAAAGTATTCCGAAACCAACTAAAAATCCTGCTCCAAGTAATAGAAACATCCCTTGGGTATCGTCCAGAGTTAAAGCTCGATCTTCGTAGGTTAAAAGTTTTAAACCTCCTCCTTTCGTGTTAGCCTAGAAAGTGGATGTTTATAGTCTTAATATACTTCTAAGAAAAATTTTCCTTACTGCCAGAAGCTTTCCCGTTGCTGATTTTAGTATATTCCACTCGATATCATTTTTTATTTTTATCATTATTCCTGACTGAATAATTTGTTGCACGCCATGTCCAAAAATTTCGCTATAAACTGAGAATTTTGGTAACAACATTCCTACTTTGTATGGAACGAAACACTGTTGGCTAATATGTAGCAAAGACTTTTTACTTCTATAAATAAAATTTAAAAAAAATGCATAGAAGAAATTAAAATTAACTAAAACATCTTTACCCCACTGAAAAGTTTGATTTTACTATGTAAGAAAGTTCCTCGCGAGATGCCAAATAAGCGTAAGGCCAGAAGAAAGCTTTAGTGACATTTTTCAAACCACTTTCTGTATCAGGAACATAGTCGACTTTTTTCATTAGTTTTTGGCTAGCCACATCAGTAACATTTAAGAACCAGTTGGGCCATCCACTTTTATCTAGTATACCAATTTGAAATCGACCATTTAAAAGCTGATCTACTGTGTTTATTACTGTAGGAAATACAGGCAATGTTACGAAGGCTATAATCGAGCCTGTATAACATGCTGTTATAATTATAGTAAAAATCCAATACACTCCTAAAATATGTAAGAGTTGTTTAGGAAAATTACTGCTCGCTTTTTCTAGGGATTAGAAACATACCCACCAGTAACTTTGTGGTATTTTTCTCAGCTTTGGTCCATGATTTTCTTCCCATAAACGTAAAACAATTTGTAAATGTTCCAAAAACATACCAGAACATATTCTCAATCTCTTCTGGGTTTCTGATTAAATGCCGCAAAGTCATTTTATCTGAATACGAAAACAGAAATACTGCCCCAAAGTAGACTATAATTAGACATAACCATACTGTCCAACGAAATGGGCCCATTATAGCTCGATACCTGCAATTTGATATTAGCTCATTATATTAAAAAAAACTCGATTGCAGGGGTCAACTTTCGTTTAGCTGAAATCAGTTATTAGAAAAAAAAAATTGTCTTTAAAAAGCTACTGTGAACTACGGAAAACACAAATTTTCCTGCGGAAATGCATAATTTCCAAATTTCGCACTTTAGAATAACTGAAATCTCTAAAAAAATACATTTTGCGTTTTATTTTTAATATTTTTCTGAACATATAAACACAAAAATTTTCCAGCTGAAATAAGCTGTTTTCATTTTCTAAAGAAATTTATTAAACTTTAGATAGCTGAAATCAGTTATATAAAAAATAAATATATTTTTGCCTTTTAGAAGCATTTACAAACTCAGGAAAATAAAAAAAATTCTGCGGGAATGGTTGATTTTCATTTTCCATATGTTCCTTATTATATTATCGAGTCTTGTAAAGTATTAGTACCCACGCATACATTTAGCATTTTTTTTCCTATGTCCTATGCTTATAGAACAGTTTAAAAAAAATCCTTGGATAAAGCACTTTTGAACCAAAAAAAATCATTTAAAAGTGTCTAAATGCTAACCAATCTAATAATAAATCTAATAATATTTTTACAAAATCAGAGTTAATTATTAAAATATAAAAACCACAGCTTAACACCCTCTACAAAGAAAAACTGCATGATCCAACATTCAAATTCAAATTCAAATTTCTTTATTAGACCCCATTAAGTTTTACAGAATAATATTAGTATTAATAAATGTGTGTCTAAAGGGATCGCACCGCGATTAAAAAACCGATACAATGGCACAAAGTGCCAGAGTGGTGCGACCCCAAAGGTACGACATTCCGAGGTACTTATAGTTTACAAGAATCTATATTATCTATTCTACAAGAATTGTTATTCCTCCGAAAGATGTTTTACCCCACCCAGCACCCCTATGCGCTCCCGGGTCCCGTAAGCTTCTAAACTGAAAAATGTATGAAAAACAAAGTGCACAAAATGACATTGACACATTTCCGCAGGAATTTTTTGGTATTTCTTTGCTCGTAAAGGCTCGTATAAAACAAATATAAGTTCATTTTTCATGTAACTGATTTCGGTTATTCTAAAGTCAAAGCATTTTTTTATGTAAAATAAAAATAAAAAATTTCCGCAGACATTTTTTTGTGTTTTTATGTTTAGAAAAATTTCTAAAACACAGACCGAAGACTAGTTTTGATGTAACAGATTTCAGCTATACTAAAGTCCGAAAAATGAAAATGACGCATTTCCGCAGGAACATTTTTGTATATTTGTACTCCTAACGCCTTCAAGAACGTGTATATAAAGTCATTTTTTATACAACAGATTTCAGCTAAACGATAGTTGAGCCGATTGCAGACCTAGGTAGTGCTGTAGAAGCTAATGATATAAATGCAGCACAATCTTCAGAGTGCCAATGAAAGATGCCGGCATTGTTATAGCGATCTTGAGTTATAAATAATCCAGCAAGTCCCAGGTTAATGTTCCCAGATTTTAAGGATTTCATTACTGCATCAGCAGATCTATGAAACAATACATAAACCTAGTTAATAGTATTGATTTCGTAATTTCATTTCAATTTTACCCAAGAATTTTTGTATCACTAGCTTCTTTGTAGTCCGTACTAAAATTGTACATCTCTGAAAGTAGTTCTACAAGCTTGACTTCAATTCCATCATACTGAAATTCGTCATATTCGTTACGTTTTCTAGAATGATTTACTTTTATTACAAAATAATCTAATAACGAATAAAATATAATACTTTTTTATAATGTATGGCGGTTGATTTGCTACCGATATAATAAATCTGTGACCAGAAAACCCTTTGGACATTTTTCTTTCAAATAAATTCACATATCTTGAGAAGTTTCCGCCCGACCACGAGGTCAGTATTATGGGTTGGCTAGATCCTAATGCGTCTATGAACAATCTGTGACTGTATAAGATAAAAGGAGCTTCACCCTATTAATGGTTTTATATTAAATAATATAAAATATAGCTCGGTAAGTGATTTATTTATTTATTCGTGTCAAAAGTGTCAAAAATTAAAAAAATAAAAATCGGTATGTGATACCTTTAGATGTGAAAATTTGTCGGATCTTGCTATAACCAACAAATTCACAATGTTTTGTGAATAATCGCTGGCTAAGAACTCTTGAACTCTCCATTGTGATGATTCAGCTACAACTACAATTCTTTCAGGTCTTTTTTCTACAACAGATCTACATTCTACAACATCTCGTACGAATACCATAAAATGAACGCAGGTTTGTCTATTGTTTATTAATTTGTTTAAATAAGTTTCGTTATTTGTTGATATTTGTGCATTAACGTAAGTTAAAGGATATCCCGTTAAAAAGTGTTTTAGAAATGCATATTCTTGAATCTCTGTATATTTATCGTATAAAATTACTGTTGTGCAACCAGATAAGTAATTATAAGCTATGAAATTTAGAAGTTCGATTAAAGATTGCTTATCGTTGTAAAACTCCTGATTAAGAAACATTTCTGATAGTTTTTGAATATGAGATTTTTCATGACTCTTTTGTAAAGCTCTCTTTGATATAGCATGGCTCTTTTCACTTAAGGTTGATTGAAAATAAAGAAAAAATGTTAAATACACCACGAGCTTCATTTTAGGACTGATACGTTTGGAGTCAAGATATTGTTCATCAAGGGCTGATTAATATAGATTTGAAGGTAAATAATTAATGGCGAACAGGTGCAGAAATGAAAAACGAATTATTGAAAAATCTTTTATAGAATAATTTATCACTCACTGGTAGAGATGTTTATTACCACCTGTACATAATAAAAAAATGGTTTACAATAAATTAGTTATCGTTTTACACAATCTCTTAAATATTAAGTTCTATAAGCATTTGCGAAATTAATTCTTGAACATTTTTTTATTGCGAGTAATTAAAAAAATGTTTCTTTGAAAAAAAAATATATACAATTTCACTAAAAAAAAATCGGAAAAACTAGCATATAGTGATGTTATTCAGGTATGAGTTTTATAATTAATCTTGACACCTAAATACCATCATTTTTTGTTCTCTATATACCTAAAGATTCTTGATAAAAAAAAGAAATATAAATACAAAATTCACTAACATTAAAAATAATGTCAAATGGCCTAAAATAATTTAATTTTACAGAAACCTATCATTTTAGCTGTTGGGCTAGCTTAATCTTCGATGTCGTTATCGACTCTACTACTGCGAATTCCGGTGTTGCCAGTCCAGGGATATATATCAGGACAAGGTTGGCAAGTCCTCATGTATCGTACTCCAGACTTGTGCCAGAGGTTGCACACTTTTGGATTGTTACATCTCTTGGGACGGTCCTGAAATAATACCACGTTAAACAGTTGAAGGTAATTAGTAATTAGAGTTTTATCAAAATTAGCTTACCGAATAGTTACACTGGAATGGTTGGAATCCATTGAGTCTGGATGACGGCGTTGGATCTCTAACCCACTGAATTGCTTGCCAGTTTGTTAAGAACCATACATCTTTCATAGCCAAGATAGTGTCGATAAAGTTGATGAAACCTTCTTTGTGGTGGGGTTGAGTGAACCAAGCTGCATGGTAGAACAAACCGAATGGAGCTCTAAGAAAATAATAGTTATTTTCATAATTTATAAAAAATCGGAATTTTAAGATATATCACCTGTTAGTAGTGTAGTGTCTTTGGAAGTTCTTCAGGAGCATTTTAAATACTCCTTCTGCATCAGGTGGGTTACTGCAAGCATCACCCATCGAACATCTTCCTCCATTAAGATCTTGCCACATCACCATAGGAACTTCCCAGACTCCTGGATAGGATCTCGTTGGGCAGGGTGGTATCATACAGTCGTGGAACAATTTATAATCCAAAGTATAAGGCCAGCTGGGTGGTTTGTTTTCGTAGATTGGCATAGACGAATCGTAGGTAAAGTTTGAGTCGTACAACATTTTAAACATTTTGTTTCCTCCAACCTATTTAATGAAAAGAATGAAGGGGGAATAACAGTTAATAAAATAAGAGAGCTTACAGATAAGAAAGGTGCCCTCATTCCTTTGATATCTTCCATTTTGATTCCGCCATATGCAGCCAAGATTTCTCTTTGACCGGCTACTTCGCGGGTCCATTTCTTCTGTGAGAATTGTTCTCCAAAACTATGGCTGTGATGATATAGAACTTTAGTAATATATATGACGAAAATTCATGTTGCGACTTTGAGATAAGCTGAACAAAAGCAAATTTAATTAAAGAGCAAGCAGTTAGTCATTTAGAGCAAGTACTTTTCTGATAAAATTATAGTTAAGGGGGCGGTGCAAAAGTACTAGAGTACAGATCAACAAATGTAGACAGGAACTCTAATCATTTGGGCTAGTTATGCCTCGAAATCTGTTGATGGCTACATTTGTTGAGTTGTATATTCGTGTGCATTCGAAAGAATTCAGTTCACTTACGACACAGTGTGAGAAGCCAATTCGTGGCCATCAGAGTACAGATTTTGTACTTGGCTATAATCTGTCCACTCATGGGACACATAGAACGTGGCAGCGATGGGACATCCGTTTGGATTGGTTCTACCCCTTTCAAATAAGTCTTGGTATAAACCTTTGTTTAAATCGTTTACAGAGTCGTCGAAAGTGAGAAGTACAATTTGGGGAACTTGCTCGACTGGTAAGTCTCCTGATGGTTGTTAGTACGCACAAGAATAAAAGAAAGAAATTCAGAGTTAATCAAAAGAAAATAAACACATATATAAATAAAAAATACACAAGTAATACAATTGCTTTTTAATGAGAAGAATACTACGATCAAGTAAGTATTGGTCGCCATTGATGGTAGTACCCTTAAATAAATAATCCATACAATTGAAGATAAAAAGAATGAAGAAAGCCAAAAAACAGAAGAGAAATGATAGTTCTGCCATCCATAGTCCCAAAATGGCCAAAATTAAGGCCACTTACGACACAGTGTGCGATGCAAATTCGTGTCCGTCAGCATAAAGATTCTGGACCTGGCTATAGTCAGTCCATTCGTGGGATACGTAAAACGTAGCTGAAATGGGACATCCATTAGGATTCTTCCTTCCGTTTTCAAATAAGTCGATGTAATAAGCTTTATTTAAATCGTTGACAGCATCGTCAAAGGTCATTAAAACAATCTGGGGCGTTTCCTCTACAGCTATATTTCCTATTTAAAATATTAAGCTATCTTAAATCAATCTATTTGCCCGGTAATCTTGGCAGAATTTTGAACAAAGTAGTTTGATTAAGATAAGGTTAAAAATCTTACCAGGGATATCTTTTCCTCCGCAGTAGCAATCAGGGAGCAGACATACATCTTTTCTGCATTTTGCAGCAGTTTTATCAGGTTGAGGTTGAGGATATATAGGTTCAGGCCTTGTAGGTGGGAATCTGTAAACATCCACGTATTCCGCTGCCTTTGATACGATTGAAGTAGATGGCTTAAGGGTTGGTCGTGATCGTCTATTCCAAAATATTTATTGAAAAGTACATTACGTTTGTTATATCATTACTATACTATAATACATATATATATATATATATATATATATATATACATATAGTTACATCTATACAAGAGTTATATACAAATAACTTACGGAGCAGGGGTACCCCTATTAACAGTGACAGTAACTTCGTTATTTAAAATGGCACCAGAATTTGAGTAATGGGATGTTCCCCTACCTCTAGAAGGTGTTCTAGAACATAAAAAAATATTTTCAGTTTCTGTTTTTACATTACATGTAATCCCATCAATATTTCATGCTTTGTATACACATTTTAGTTTGCAAAGCATCACTAGAATATTTTTAGATTGTTCTATGTCATTTCAGCGATGGTTTAAGTTTTAGTTTTTCATGCAGCCAGCTATGAATAATGTTAACCGTAAAAAGTTGAAAAATTGGCCATTTTTTACTATTTCTTCAAGGAACTTATATTTTTATAACTGTTTTTAACTGTTTATAACTGATACTAAAAGTAATCATAACATTTTGAAAATTCCAGTATTTATGGAAAATTCTAATATAAACACATAAAGGGTTAAATGCTTTGATTTTCTAAGAAAATAAGTTTTAGAAATACTTTTTTGAATATTTTTTTAGGGCGGAAAAACATTGCCTACATATACCGTGCTTTTGTTAATGATAGAACAATAGTAATAATTTTTATTAATTTATAAAATTTTAAGCATTTATAGGAAATTTTATGTACTTTTAGAATAATAAAGCTTATATGCTTTCACTTCATTGTCTCTTATGCTGTGGCCAGTGATTTTACTGTGATCAAAGTCTATGGATCAAATTCTGTATATATTTTATATTGTCGTGTTTAAAAGAGTGTGAAAATACAGGTCAGGTCAATCACTCGTTACATTAAATAAAAATATAGAAGACATTTTATATAATTATTTCGATAATTGGCGGTAAATGTAGTAAACAATCAAAACAATAAGTCTTGTTGGTTTTGTAAGTGGTGCGTAAAGTTTTGTCCATAGATATTTCGCAAGGCATTATACAATCAAATTCACTTGTCCGCTTTACGCATATTAGAACCGTTGAAAATACGCAAAATATTTTGTAATATTTATCATATAATGTTTATTAAAATTGTACTATTAAATCCGATTGAGAAAGTCATCAAAATCTTTAAAATTTTTATGCCTATTTTTTATTAAATTTAAATAATAAAATTATAATTTACCTTAAAGTCTTCTGCGTAACAGCAGTTTATCCTAGTTAACACTGTTAAATACTAAATAATATGATTTCTACAATTTTCTAAACTATAAACCCCATTAAAAAAATGTTAGTTTGAACTACTTTTTATTATTGGTGCTTCTAAGGGCGATAGCAATATTGCATCCTTACCTAACTGTTTAGCACTATACTAAAAATATATAAACTGCTGTTCAAAATTCAAGTTAAAATACTTTGAACGACAGCTGAGATGTAAAAGCAAACTACTCTCAACCCCACAGTCCTAATGTAAATATTTATTAAAAACTATAAATTTGAAATGAAGAAGTGTTAATATGTGAAGGTATTATGTCCATAGTCAACTTCCAGTCTCATTTTTAAATCTGAATCTCTATTGAAAGCTCATAATACCGGTTAGATAATTGGTGCATCAAAGAAAAGAGATGGTGCCTATATATCCATGCAGATTATTTCTGTTTTCCTTTGCAAAAAGTAGTTACAAATACCTCTGCTTCAGATCGACCTTGCATTTGTTGGAATATTTCTCATTACATTTCGATAATCCTTTGCTTCCGTTGACAAAAGCTTTTAAAGTCGAGTTTGCCCTAGAACTTCTTGAGGGAAAGGATAGATTATCTGGAGATATTGTAGTCAAGTCTTTTTGAGGAATTGGTTTGAATTTATACAAAGGTGACGTTGATTCTTGTTTGAGTGTTTGTTTTCGAGTGGACAATATTTCAGATACCTGTTTTTCTTTAAGTACCGGTACTGGATACGTTCTAGGTTTCTCACTGGACGTGGTTCTTTCAAATTGTTTCAGTATGTTTGTTCTTAGTTCAGTTTCTGTCGTAGGATGGGTTATATATCGCGATGTAGAAGATTGAACGGGAGAAGAGTTAGTAGGATTAACATCAATGAGGGTAAGCTTACTTTTCAGATCGTTATTTGCCAGATATTTGGATGAATCTTGTTCACTAGCACCATTATTAGCCAATTCGTTATTGATTGTAATCGGACTTAAAGTCTTCCTTACAGCTTTCAATATTTTGTTTAGTTTTCTCTGTCCGTTATTTAAAGTAACTCCAGGCTTACTGTTTTCATTTCTCGGCCGAAATAATATTATTGGCGCGTTTTTAGATAAGTTTAGTTTAAGCAAGAACCTCGATGGTGAGTACGTAGTTGGTACAACGACTTCGCTCGGGTGTGTTCGATTCTTTGCATTATTATTAGAGATCTGGTAAGTTGACTTGGAAGCAGCTGTGGCAATATTAGACGTAAGATTATGTCCAATTATGGTTTGGTTAGTTATATATGCGATTGGCTGTTTCTCAATAGTGACAAGGGGTTCGTGTGATGTATAGTCAGGAGTGGTGTCTGTAATTGGGGGGCGTAATTTTTGATTTGGATATATGAAAGGGTTCTTTTGGGTAACGGGAGTTATAGTATTTTGTTCTGGGCTCGTATTATTTGGTATAGGTCTTAAGTGACGTTCTTTTTCGATGACCGGCCTTAAGCTAGAATAAATAGTATGAGTTTTAAGAAAATTCTTCACTAAATACTTGAAAAGAGTTCTAATAATATTTTTACCTTTGTGACGGTTACATTTCTTGAAAATACTTCTTTAGAGGAAAATCTAGAAAATAAAAAAGTCATTTTTGGGAAACACCACTGCGTTGATCCAACGGAGACCAATTTGTCAGTTACTAATAAAACAAATTTTCTTGACGGACAAAGTATCCATCGTTAGAGACAAAAAAACACAAAGAACCAAGAAAATAACTATTTTAAACATCTAAATAAAACCATTCAAGATAACTTTAGTCTTTTTAACAGATACGTTTATTATATCGTCCTATTGCTGCCAAAAGTCACTAACTAACATTTTTCCGAACAACCAAATTCAATCACTAACTATGTTATGAAGCGGAGAATCGATTGCAAAAGTCATTAACTACGATTTCTGGCTATTTAGTGTTTTATTTTAATACCGAATAGTTACTAACTATAACATCTTTATGCAATGCAATTCATTTTTAGACGCATTTTTCTCGGAAGTAATAAAAAGTAAGTTAGTGACTTTTGGCAGCAATGGGACGATATACTGTTGACGTTCTGTTAAAATGACATTATATGAAGTCGAACTTTTATGTGTTTTATTTGCTTTTGATGACGGGAGGAGATATACATCCTGAAACGTTGAGCATTTTTTGTCCGTTAGGCAGATTTGTCTTATTAGTAATATACAAATGACAAATTGGTCTTTCAATCAAAGCAGGGGTATTCACAAAAAATAACTTTTTTATTTTGTAGATTTATAGAAGTCTTTTCAAAAGATTTTTTATAACAGACTTAATGACATATTTTTAACTCAAGGAAAAACACCACTGAAAATTAATCACAAATAGTTTACTAGAATAAAATATTTTTTTTGGAAGTGATATCTTTCTGTGGTGATAAACCTTAATCATATGTTTCAATTATTGTTAAAAAATAATTTATATTTTGTCCTATTAAAAAGCAAGTGCAGTCAGTATTCTACCTTAAAAGTATTAATTTCAGATATTTTTTTAATATACAGATATGATAGTGTGTTGACTGTTTAAATGTGTAATATAAATCAGTCAGTGTGCAACTACATGAAAGTGGCGGGATTAATGGATGGTGAGGAGTCATGAGATCATACAACGTGAATAACTATCGTAGGAATTATAGTTATTCATTTTGTAAGAAGCAAGTCATAAAATTTCAGTATTCAGTATATCGTTTTGATTAAATAAATTTCCAACTGAAATTTCAGAGTATACATATAAGAAATGCGTGAACCAGGTCTTCATAAGGAATTATTTTGAAAATGGATTTATATTAAAGTACTTTTAATATCCTTTATATTTTTATTCTGGTTTATGCATACTTAAAAAGGATATAAGGGCTGTACTAAGATACTACAAAAAATGAGCAAAAAAGCAATCTTAGCGAAACAAATATGATAGAACTGCAAAATCGACTCTAAAAAGCAAGCTTTAAATTCATTTGATTCGATATTTTGTAGTACCTTGAAGAGGCAGTAATAATGCTCTTTTTTGTGGGTATAGTTCGTGCTTGCGTTGTAGTTGTTATTCTAGTGGTTGGAGTGGTAAGCTTTCTTGTCGGTGTGGATGTAACTCTTTTAGTGGTAGGTATTTCCTCAATATCGTTTATTTCATTTCTGTCTCCCCTAAGACTAAACCTGAACTTAACATTTACAAGGCCTTATCGAAGGTATTTAAATCTAGATACATACCTGGACGATGAGCGACTCGATTGCCTGTAAGAATTATCTTCGTCCTAAAATAAATAGAGAAAGCTAGCAGAAAGAACAACAGTGAATACGTATCAAAGTCGCTTGCAAAAAGCTGTTTTGTTTTAAATGAATAATGAATATATACAAGAAGAATATACAAAGTGCAAATCTAGAATCCCTATACATTACCGTGACTCCTAAGTAACAATTTAAAAGAAATAAATTTGATTAGTATATTATCTAGATGTTCTTATAGTTTTATGACACTACTTCAATTTAATGTGTTAAGTTAAATAAGATTTTTGAAGTGAAACTTCTTTACGCGCGCGGGGAGTTCAAGGCCGTGATACAAGCTAGCGAGACGAAATTTGGTAAGGACAGCCTACGGCTTAGAAATACGTAGTGACGCGTGTATTTGTGAGCGATCCACGTGTTTACCAAAAATATTGACATTTTAATTGTTTATTAATTTTTTATTTTACTCGTATAAAATTACGCGTAAAAACTATTTGTTACAAGCAAAAAACTATTTGTACCGCGTAATATTTTTAGAATTTATTACTTTTTCAAAATTTCAAACTGCACTTTTTCACACATATCTTTCAAGTCCTTCAATTTAGTAGCTGTTAGCAAGAAATTTTACTTCAAATATGTGCACATAGTGCACACACACAATTTTTTTATGGAATCTTGTATATTTTTTAATAAATGCTTAAAATATATAAAGAAATACTTACTTGGTAAGCGTTCTCACTGTAGTCGCTCACAGTTGAGGGTTGTTGATAGATATCTTGACTCACACTGTTATAAGCCACATTGCCACGTTTTGATGGTTCTTCACGAGCAGCGCTTGTTGATCCTCTATATACATTGGCACTGGTAGTTTTGCTGCTCTGAGAATTATAGTTGCTTTGAGGAGTATAGTCTGTACGATAGATAATTAAAACCAATCAACAATGATTCATGTAGTGTTGTGAATATAAAACACATATTTTTAAAAAGATGTAAAATTAATTTAAAAATCAGGAATAACTTTTACATCTTTAAGTTTGCACCAAACGAAATACGTCATATCTTAACTGGCATTTACATGATTTTAAAGTACGCCCTGTTATTTGCGTCTTGTATAATTTTTCTGACATTTATTTGCTTATTGTTTGAATTCTTGAAAATCGTGTTGAATATCAATTAATATAAAGTAAAAATTTAATATGAATAGTTAATAGAGTCTACCCCACCCAGGAGAAAGAATTTACATTGAGCATTCTGTTTTTTGCAAATTAAGAAGAAAAAAAAAACTATCTTACCAACATCTTTGTATAGTTCAACATCATCATCATACAAAGCGTAGTAAGGATCGTATCTATTATCATTGTGGTTCACATGATTGTACTGACTAGTGTTGTAAATGCTTCTTGCTGTTGCTGTTGTGGTTTGAGCACTGGGTGCTACACTGCTTTTATCTTCACTACAACATCATGTCATCAAATACAAAACTTAAACACTAAAAACTAAGTTTAGATGAAGTTGTGACTGAACATGAACCTAAAAAATTGCGATGTTTTTACATATATATTACAGGAGAATATTTAAGGAAAATTTCGTGCATTAGTTTATAGTGTAAAAATATATACAAAAGAAACTGAATGCCTTTAACCTTTAAAACATGCAGAATATATACAGGTAATCAAAAAAAGCCCGGAAGTTTGCAGAGAGATAGAAATTATAAGCTGGATTTTATAAATAAACAGTTTTGTGTGTTTTATATACATAAATTAGCAATATTCTAACTGTTCTATATTACACTAAAATACAGAGAGTTTCAGAAATATGTGCTATTATCTGAAGAGAGGAATGTTATAAACTTAAACTAAACAAAGTCAGCTCATATTTTCATTAAAAATTCATTTTAGAAGTGTTTGTACATTGAAATTAGGTCAGTTTTGTCAATAAAAGGCATTTACAAATTAAGAAATGCTTATAGTAATTATTTATAAAGTTGTTTTCAAAAAATCTTGTTTCTCTTCATCCGTAAAGAAAATACAATTAATATGAACATTTTAATTAAGTGAGGCGTATCATATAACATCAATTTATTCATTTACTTTATTAAATCTTGAAGCACAGGCTAAATAAAATTTTAATTAATTTTAAAAACAACTTATTTGATTAGATTTAATTAAAAAATCAACAAAACTGTTTATTTTATAAATATATTTATTTAAATAACATATAGAGAGTGAGTACATTTGTATTATTAATAATAAATAATATTATATTAGAAATAAACTTAGTAATATTAACAATATATAACAGAGCACTTAACGAAATAGAGAGATTATATTTATATGACATATATTCTTTTGAATTCAAGTGAAGAGAATACTACTTTTTAAGAACCTTTCTTAAAATATAAATTATATGTTATATAGTTAATAATGTTTTACACGAACCGACAAAGAATAAGTATCTAGTGTGAGAACTAGACTACCTAGTTTAGTTATGTTACAGTAAATTATATAATGAATTAAGAAAACTGCTATTTAACCGTTTAACAGCCTTTTTTGCTTCGAAATTCTTTGGAATCGCCGCGATGTTTTTTTTCCAACCGAATTTTTGCTAAAAAATGCGTTTTTCTTTGGTTTTTTCTTTTTCATTTTTCATGGCAATTATGATATTTTGAAATGACCAAGGTTCTTTATTGCCAATAAATTCTGTAAGACCTATTTTTATCAAACAACACCATGATTTCGTTATTACGGAAAATACTTTCACTTCTAACAATTATTCTATTGGGTCAAGTTTTGTAATAGTGGTTTTTTGAATGCATGATTTCTAAGTCTGCTTGCTGTTCAAATATGTAAACTTATATATAATTTTTTTAATAAACCTTTTTTAATCGCATTATCAGCGAAATAAAACTGCTATATTTTAAGTATCAAAAAATACACGCAAGTATTTAAAGTTTTAAAAGAAATATTAGGTATATTTAGGGGCACAAATAGTACATAATATTTAGATAATTATTAGTATTAATCTAAAGAAATAAAATTAGATTAATTGGTTAGTTCAATTGAATCCTATGAACATATGCTTTTAATGATGAAATATTTACAATATGTTTCTAGATTTTTCTGTATCTCATGTACAATTCTGCCAAAAACAATACCAGATTATGTTGGTATACTCATATTTATTAAACTCACATTAAATTAAGAACCATATTGTGTAAAAACACAAAATCTAAAAATGTTCTTTGACTATTATTATTTAACTAACCGCCCTGTATATCAGAGATTTTGGTAAGATATCCAAGGTTTTTTTTTCATTAGCCTTCAATGGAATTTAGATCAGGATGATTAAGCTTTTAATGGTAAAATATCAATATTGCTCTCATGTAACAATCCCAGCATTGCTCTTAAGGCGTGTAATTGAGCGTTATAATGCAAAATCCTAAGATCTAGGTTAATTGTTACAGCATATAAGAGAAAAAAATATATCTCAAAAATCGACGCCAATCAACGTTAAAATTATTATTAATTATTATTGGCAAGTAAGCTTCAATCAAAAAAGTTCTGGGAATTAATTGAGTTATTATTTTAATCTCCACAAAACTAAAAATTTTATAATAAATAGTAAAAACAATAAGCGTTATATTGTAATTATTTTATTCAATACAGGGTGTTTCAAAAACTGTGTTCAATCTCTAGTGGGGACTATTATTATCTATTAATTTTTTATATCCACATAGATCACAATCAGCAGAATCGGTCCTATGTTGATATAAAAAACAAATCTTATTTTTACTTCAGGAAATGGAATGAAAATCTATTTTGATACACCCTGTATAATAATTCGTAACGTAGAGTAGTTTAAACATAATAAATTCGAATCAAATTTAACTTTATTACATCAGATACAATATGCAAATTGCTACAAAGAAAACACGGTCCATATTTTAGAAATGTAACATGTACCTTAACCCACACGTATAAAATTTTTTGATTGTCTCATGTAAAGTACTGGAGTATCCAAGGTTATCAAGACTATACTTTTATTCTACAAAACCCAAGCCCACATAACATGGTATCAAGCAAAAATGGTCGAAACTAGTATTAGTTTACCACCTTTTTGCGATGCAAAGAGATCAAAAAACGGATTGAAATCTTTGAGTGGGCTGGATTACTTTGATCTCTCTATTTTGGGAAAATGCATATGCAGAGAACATATCCATGTATGTTCATGTATAATATTCTTAGATTTTGTGTTTTTGGCTTCTTTAGTAAAAAGATATATTAAAGTTACTTGCATGCATTTTACATGAAGCTAATTCCATAAGCCCACTAAATCAGATTTGTCAAATTTTCAAACCAGCTGATTTAGTGAACGAAGTTATTGCCGTTAATATGATTGATAAACATCGCACTTTTATTAGTTTTTTATTAATTAAATTAAATCAAATTTATGTTATTTTACCTTGAAATAACGATTGACTGTTCAGGTTTAGAGTCAAGTTCATACAATTCGGTAGTTGTTCGTCGTTGTTTGTTTCCTGATTTAACAGTTGGTAATACTGTTGTAGTTCTTTTTCGATTTGTCGTTAGAATTCTTTTGGGTTTTGGTGTTGTACTAGTCGTTGTTTGTGACTTTTCGACAAAGCTCGATTTAACTTTATCCTTCGATTTAGAACGTGTTGTTGTTGTCGTGTTTGGTTTAGTAGTTGTTAAAGGTTTTTTAGTTTTAGAAGTGGTCAGAATAGTTGGTTTATCCGTAATATATTGAGTTTTTACCGAAACATCGGGGTACTTGATTTGTGGATTAATATTAGAGTGTTTTACTAATGGTTCTATTGATTTTGTAGGTTTTGCTGCACTATCTAAATATTTACTAGTATTATCACTATATTTAGGTATAGGCTCAATATATTTAGTTGTATGGGCTTTATAATTAGTAGTACGCTCAACATTTTTAGCTGTATTGTCTGTATATTTCACTGTTGAAGGTCTGTCTAAATATTTTGATGTTGATGTTGGAACTGAATACACGCTACTGAAAGGCTGAACAGTAGAAGGCTTATCCTGGTATCTAGCGGAATATTTTACGTCAGTCTTCGAGGAGTTTGATAACTTCGCTACGTTACTTGAGCTGGAATTAGGATCTGGATAATCATATTCTTCATAGTAATACTCATACTCAACGGGCGCTGCTACTTTAGGTGCTAGTAAAGTATTATTTCCGGATTTTATCTGACTAGAGTACTTTTTGTCAGCAAGAGACTGTATAATTTTGTCGTTAGCAAAATCATTGGTGGTTTTAACCGGGTTTGGGGTGGCGGGTTGTAACAATTTTAATAAATCCCTGTAATTAATTGTTACAGATGACGCTGCTTGGGCTTGCCTTTGATTATTGTACTGATCGGTGAAGATGTGCTTCAGGTCTTGTTGGGGAAGAAATTTAATTTCAGTTATTTTTGGTCTGGGAGTTGTAGTGGTAGTCGTGGTCGTCGTACTAGTTGTAGTAGTTGTCGTTGTAGACCCGAGTTTGCGCAGAAAATTGTCAAAATCGAATTCCGGATCGGCAAAAGGGTTGTAAATGTCTTCGTACTTATTTTTAATACTATAGAATGAAGGGGGCGGTCCCAAGTCTTCGTCGTCATGGTCATGATTTTGATATTCGTAAGTAGTAGTCGTGTTAGTAGACTCTCCCTCTTTAGGTGTTTCTTTTTCTTCTCCACCTGACTCTTTTTCTTCATTCGAAGAATCAGTTTCTTCCTCCGCCTGTTCATTTGGTTGCTCTTCATCATTCGTCGACTTGTAATCATCTTTATAGACTTCTTTTGGTTTGTCAAATACGCTCTCAGCGCCCAAAATGCTCTGAGTGTCATTGCTCGTTACTTGCTCCTTGATATCTTTCTCAATCTCTCGGATTTCATCAGACTCTTCTTGGACGCCGTAACTTACTGTAGAGGTCGTTGTAGTTGGCTGATACCGAGAGTAGTTAGTGCTGGGATTCTTGGGTTTCGAGTTAGGGTTAACCCTCAAATGCGTCTTTCTTAAATCAACAGCTTTTGGAGCTACATTCGTATACGCGGTTTCTAGTGCTAAAGGTACGAATTGAGTTTTAACCGTGCCTTTGTATTGAGGAGGAATAAAGGGACTGTTGTCGAAGTGCGCGTAATTTGGAACTGGATTTGAGGACGCTGGTCGGACAAAGACGTTATTTGGGTGGAGTACCGGAGACGTCGGATATTTAATTAGAACATTATTAAAGGATTCCGCAGGAATGAAAGGTTGAAACCCATCTTGATTCTGATATCTCCCAATAAAAGGGTTCCTCCTAGTATCGTCAATGTATGGATACGGAGGAGGTTGAATGTATCTTTTCTTTTGGCCGTTCTGCCAGTCAGATAGTTCGTTATTGAATTCTCGACTAGAAAATTATTCCGTGTTATTATAACAGAAAGTTCCAAGTAGTATTTGATTAATTACCTTCTCTGCGCATGTCTCTTTTGTCGTTTCTCCGTCGTCAAGTCGTTAGTCAATATTTCGTTGAAGTTTGATGCGGTACTGTAGATCAAGTCTTTTTCAATCAAAATGAACTATGAAACGGATCGCTCACTTACCTGTAAGGCTGCAATTGTGACTGTGTCCCGAAAGAAATCACTTCCACTTTTTCACCACGGCTCTATAAAAAAATAAAACATTTATTTTTATATGGGATAAACAAAATCAAAGTCTGTCTGTATACTCACAGATAGGCTGTTAGTGTGTCTGTAACCATCTCTGTCTCTTTGAACTTGACCAACAGTCGAAGGTTGACCGCGGTACACCCTTTGTTGTCTGTCACTTTCGACCTCTTCGGCTGGTGGTAAAGATTCCTCAACATCAGCATAGAGTTGTTGCTAAACAAACCGAATAGTTCGTTTTACTTCCCCAATACTTTACAAGATTATATAGATATATTTACTTTGATAATCTCCTGTTGGTTTTGTAGTTGCCTCGGTTGTCCTCTGGATGTCACCACGGCTCTAGGTTGTGGTGGGGGTGGTGGTGGTGGAGGAGCATATTTCAGTCTGGACTCAGTTCTGATCTCTTCTTTATCACGTGACCGTTCTCTGCTTTTCACAGTCTGTGATCCAGAACTGCTGGATGATTGACTTGATGGTGCAGGTGCTGCAGCTAGTTCTAATCCATCGCATCCAACATTTCTGGGCCAATCACAAGTCTGAAGTTCATGGCTGGAAATGAAAACAAATACTATAAAGCGGCATGATCAACTAAAATCAAGCTCTCTGAATGGCGCTTAAGAGTATTTTTTTCCCGTGATGTGGTATTGGAACTCTTAAGTTTACTATTGCATAGGTAATGTGATTAAATTAAAACGAAAGACGGAATCATAACTATGTAGGCGTCTTTATGCAACATAAATCATAAACACGTTATTTTAATATTGCCTTTGCCTATGCCGCTAAAATAATGGACTCATTGTTTTCTCCATGTTTGTTACATTATTAATATAAATATTATTTTATGATTAAATATCTGATGCAATTTTAGTTTATTTCAAGTAAATATGTCAATCATTTCATGTAATCCTTTGGTTCTTATAGATAGTAATTGTTGATAGGTTATATTAATAAGCGTTTTATGCCTCATTCAAATTACACAATCAGCTGATTGACTTACGAAAATGCACTTTCATTTTCTATTTTTTTAAATCCATTTACACCTGTTAACGCCAACGCAAAGTCTCTGCTCAGGCTGAGACAATAGACAACGATCTAACACAAAGAAAAAGGCTTACTTTCCAATAAAGTTGGAGTGATTTAATACAAGAGCACTAAAAATCTAGCGAATTGAATTAAGGCTGCTTTGCACTTAGCCTTTTAAACATGCAATTAAATTACGCGTTCGAATGAACATGCCCTAAGGGTTATTAGTTTCTTAGAGTTGTGAGCAAGGTAGTTCTGGTTGTCATGATATTTAAATGAAAAATCTTCAGTACTCGAACCAGTATTTTAATTTTTCAACTTTTTGTAGCCTATAGTTTTAAGTATACATTTAGAATAAAAAAGGTATTGGCATCATGTATTCCGTTTTAAACTAGTTTAACAATCAGGAATTAAAGAGATTTACCATAAATGTTCTTCAGAAATAGAAGCATGCCGATCTGCGTGCAAAAAAACGGAAAAGGATATATTTGGTCGATTGAAAAAAGGAAAAAGCAATTATTGCTACCTTATATAATTAATTAATTCAAAAAGGAAAGACATTTTCTGATTCCGGCTGTATTAAAGGAATCCTTAAAATGTTTGTTTTATTCTATTAGACTGTCGTATTTATAGTAGTTATAATATACCGCATTTTTTAAATATATACACATATACTGTATTACACAGTTATTGTCTGATTGAGATAGAAACAAAAATATATCAAATTCTTTTTGAGTAATTTGCTAATAAAGTTTAATATCTTTTTAAATATTTTAGAAACTATCCCAATGATGGGAATACATTTCTTGAAACTTTGAGAAATTGAAAAGTAGTTTTATTAACATATAAGGTATACAATTGACTGCATCCTCACTAAATTTAGTAGTTTTTTCTTAACTTATTCAGTCACGACTAAACCTGCTGTTTGTAGTATATATGTACCTGTACATAAGGCCTCCAGTGCATGATTCCAATAAGGCTCCTCCGAAAACGCAGACATAGTATTGTGTACAATCTGTGGGGTGAGGATAGTAACCGAATTCTTCAGGACAATCGAAGTTGGCCCTTTCTCTTCCTTTGGTCTCTGCTAGCGTTGGTAATGGTCGAGTCAACTTTCGTTGAGCTTCAGCAACTGAAAGTAAAATGAGAAGCGTAAGAATGGCAGTCGTAGATATTAGATTGGAAATTGTTACATTTATTTTTACCTGTTTAGGTAAAGACGTATATTTTAGCTCTCACAAAATATCGATGTCGCATACAGTGAGTGTATATTTTCACCATTATTTAGTTGAAATTGAAAATTTTTTATTTCTATGCAAATAGTTTATACATATATTGATATATTGAATATTCTGGAAACACTTTACACGTAGATAATAAGATTTTGGAATCTCTAGATAGGTGACATCAGCTAATGTCTTTTTAACGAGTCAACCATAATTTACTTGTAAATAAAAATGACAGGTACAACTGTCACTGCCTAGGATCGTTGGACAGATTTACATTCATTAAGCGCACGTAGTTATAACAAAATAAAGACAAAATAATTCACCATTTGCATCCACAGGTGCATCAAAAATGAAAAAAATGACCACATACATATGGCTACATTCGGACAATGTCGGTTTAGTAGATATGTGACATTGTAATGATTAAATACGACATTTTTGCCGGATAACCCGGGCACATATTCGGGTAAATCCGGATGTATCAAAACTCTATTAACACGAATTTATAAAAATGAATTTAAAAAGTAGATCAGTTTCTTGAAGAGTGTATAAAAATCAATTCTTGATTGCTTGACCAGTCAACTTGACCGTGGTTGGAAACTATATGGGGTCAAATTCTCGGTCAAAGTCTTGAAAACATTGAAATAAAAAAAGGTGATGGCTTTCAGGCTGGAAAAAGTTGTTTTAGAGTGCGATGATAAAAATTCCATTAGCAAAAATTACGCAAAGGTCGTTGCCAACCTGCTACTTCTTGGAGATTCTTTTAAACGATTTGTTTCGAATGAAATTAGATTAAATACATAAAAGTATATAAAAATCAGCTAAATAGATTTTTCTACTGCTCAGAACCGGTTATTCTAAATGCTAAATCACGAATTTTGAATATTTTTCGAATTCGATTTTCGTGAACTATGCGAATCTAATCTTGTGTAAGTTCTTATGATATAACCTCTGGTTGTTTAAAAATGGGGTTTCTTGTTGAATCACGGGTTGATGTCTCTTAATTTATATGTTTTTTATTTAGTTTTCTTCTTGTATTTTGTGTTGAGAAGCAATTAAAAATATAGTAAATTGATTAATACTCTATATACATCACAATAAACAATGTTTTTTTATCAAAAATATTTATTTATACACTCAGATACAAAAAAAACGCAACGGAAAAATTTCTCGTCATATTTAAAGTGTTATATATTTTTTATTTTTAGCTCAATTTTTATGATTTTTTTTTGGCAAGCTGTATATGAATATTGGCAAAAACTTTACTATTGGGTTTTATTATACAGGATTTTTCGAATGGTTGTTTTATACCTTATCTTTAAAATAATATCTCGGTTATTTTGGACTTATGTGAAAAACAGTAAAGAGAAAATACATATATTTTTTTTCGAGATCTACCAGCGCTGAAAATATATTGCTTATTTAATACACACCCTGTATATTTCTTTTATATTAATTTTATTTGAAATTCTTTTTCTATTTTTTATTGAGGCTTGTGAAATATAAAAATCAGCTAAATCGATTTTTATACTGCTCAGAACCGTTTACGCTAAATGCTAAATCACGAATTTTGAATATTTTTCGTATTCGATTTTCGTGAACTATGCGAATCTAATCTTGTGTAAGTTCTTTTGATATAACCTCTGGTTATATCATGTAACCTATAGTTATAAGGATACGAGCAGCTATTACCACACACACACTGCGCATTTACAAATAATTTAAAGGTTAAAATTACACATAAATTCATCTTAAAATGTTACAGCGTATTTTCCGGACTTATTATTAAAATGGTATGTCAATCGGAGGATCAGCATTAAGCGAAATTTTGACTCTAAACTAACACAGTACATAATATATTTAAATTTAAATCTGACACGCAGGTTAAATATTTCAAAGAACAGTGTTGTTTCTTTTCGTAACAAGACACCTTTTGTTACGTTTCGATATCCTGGCCTCAACCACTTGAAACCAGCCCGTAAAATGTCATGGCATTTTTTAAACTTGTAGCATATATCTCCTTTCGAGTCATGTCTTGGCCCATATTTGGCAATTAAAACCAGTCAAAACAGCAATGTGACCAATATTTATTCTTTTATCAGTAATAAAAAGACAAATACTAAGGTCAGATTTAAGTTTTTTAGGACTTTTTTGTCAGTGTGTATATTGCGTTAATATATAGATTATATCAAAATGGATATATAGACATAATCTTATGGTAATTGAGGGTACAGCGTTGAAAAAATTAAATAAACTATAATTATGGGAAAGTATGAATTTATAATTGCAGCATCTAGGACAGTCTCAGTTGATCACGTCTCCTCTTGGCCATTATACTTTCTATAATGATGGTATTTAAGTAAAAAATGCCGGTTTAAACCGATTTAAAATTCTACATCTAATAAAAATAGACTGTTACGTATTTATTTCATAATATGCCATGAATTATTTCGAAATTATTGACCCCGTATATTCAGAGGTCATAAGTTTATTTCGTTAGGTCACCGGGATTCCTCTGCTATATGAAGAGAAATGAAATAAAGAGCAATAAATTAGCCAAAAAAAAGTCAGCTTAACGTTTTAAAGTTTTGCATTTAAAACAGGTACTAAATATCGCAGGTAGTAACCAAAAACTCGTGGTAGCATAAAAAGAAACAAATTTTTTGATATCTTTAAGTGTTTTGCGAAATATATGTAGCAGTAAATTTTTCGAAGGAAGTTACAAAGATGAGATTATAATTTTTGCATAAGCTAATTTATTACGTAAATGCCACCCTGTACCATCAGTTTTTAACAAAAAAATATTTTAAAGATTAGAAAGCAGTTTTATTATTGAAATTATATCATTTTTGGGTAGATTAAAATGAAATTAACTCTACAACACCGATTTCTCACGGACCAACAAAATTTAGAACCATTTTCCTATAATTTTCATAATTAAGGATAAAAAAATATGTACTTTCCCAACATGATGATGGTTTTAAAACACTTAAAATAACATCATTTTAAACATAACCATAATATTTTAAATTTAGACTTTTACTGTTCATAAACTCATAATTAAGGCCATGTAAGCTTGTTTCTCCATGTATTTAAGTGAAAATATAAACCGTCTTTTTTTGTTCTTACAAAAACCAAAGAGGTATGAAGTAAAATAGTATCAAGACAGTGATCAATGATAGAAGAAGTAGGTAATATTCTCCATTTTTGGTAATATTTAACAAAAGTGAATGGTTTGAATAGTAAAATGTTAATATTCTGTGCGGCAAGGTTGTTTTAAGATAGAATCAACAGCATTCCTATGTGTCTCAACATTATAAATAATATTTAAATACGTTTTTATAAATGTAACATAAACTAGACAAAGAAATCAAGGATTATTATAAAAAGATTTTTCAATAATTAAAAATATAAATTTTCTTTAAATTTATTTTCTTTCTGATGCTCTCGAAACATTTACCTGCCATCTTGGATCTGTTAAACAGCAAATTATCAAGATTATCTCCGTCAATCTGAACATGAGGTTTAGAAATATCAAGCGATTTTTCGCCGAACGTGCAAAACAGTTCCTAGCTGGTTATGTAACAGCAGGCGTGGTTAATCATGAAAAACCTTGACTCAAATATTCTATTGGTACATAAACAGATACTCGAAAGATACCGCACTATATCACGCTGATTTATGTTCCAACTTATCATTTAAAATCGGTTCAGAACTCGCGTTCAACCTCTCTCGATCTTTCAAAACATGAAAAAATGTGGCGAAAGTCAGCATTTGCGAATTGTTAAGCGCAATTGTGATACAATCATATAACGTTTGCTTTGAAATACAAGAAAAAATTGATCTAAATGACCTGCTACATTTCAAGTCTGCAGGATAGTTCTAAGTTCAGAATTACAAATTAGAGAAAGAATAAATGCTAAAAATTTTCCGATCTATCTATATTTCCTATAAAGTATATAGGAAAATAGCTGTTATTGTCTGGTACTACATAAACGTAATAGACCGAGAGCTGGCTACATAAAAAACCTTATCATCGTTACATGGCTAATTTTTTCTGTGAAGTATCCTTTTGTGCAGCCATTGTGAAATAGTCATGTCTGCCCCGGGGGCTTGAAGCGGGGGCGGCCAATCGAAAGGGTGAAATTTTGACACTTAAAGTATTATAAGGTACACGAGTTATAATTGCCATATAGCTTTTATTTATTATTAAGAAACGTGTAAAATTGTTGACAGACATTTTTCTCGGGGCTGAAATGCCGGCAGACAACGCGAAAGAGGCATAGAATTTTGACAAAAGAAAATCATCGCATACATGCATGTCGGTTGGTGGAATGTCATGTTTATTGTTAATTAATTTAAAAAGCCGTATGCAAAAGGGCAGACAAAAAAATCTTTATTGAAATAATAAAAAAATATATTTATAATATAATCGTATATTATATGATTTATCTATACTTAAAAAGATGAGGCGGCCAGCGTTCCCTGAATAAAGCGCTAGAGTAATATCGCGCCTTTGATAACTGTCTGCAGCTGATTGAGTCACGATTTTTTGTCTTCCCTTTTGCATACGGCTTTTAAAATAAATAAATATGACATTTCACCAATCGGCATGCAAATATGCCATAATTTTTTTCATTCTTTAAATTTCATTTTTTAATGATTTTTAAAATTTCATATGCCTCTTTCGCGTTGTCTGTTGGCATTTTAGCGACTAGAAAAATGTCTGCCAACAATTTTCCACGTTTCTTAATAATAAATAAAAGCTATTTTCGCAATTTTAACTCATGTATCTTAATAATATTTTTAGTGTCAAAATTTCACCCTTTCGATTGGCCGCCACCGCTTTAAGCCCCGGGATCGCGCTGGCAGACATGACTATTTCATAATGGCTACACAAAAG